TGTCTCTTTCCTTCCATTATCAAGCTCTAGAGTTCTCTGTCTTGGGGCAAAATCATCTACTATATCAGTTCCAGATAAACTTTTGCAGCTGGTTCCACTGGTACATTTCTGAGTCATTCTCTGTTGATTTACAGGACCTTCCTTTACTTTGATGATTTAAATACTTTTACAGGATTGTGGATGGAAAGGATGGGGAGAGATATCTTATGGAGGTTATGAATGTGTTAAACGCGCTAAAGCAGCAGAGTATCTGGTAACCTATAAAAACTTATAACGAACACGTAGATCAGTGATCTAGATTCATTGTGTTCATAACTTATGTTATTATACTGCTTGATAAGACTATTAGAGGTACTACTAGCTTACTATCAATTAATATTGGTCTCTTCATATGCTTAATTAGGTTAGGTCATGGATGGAAGAAATATATCCTGGTCTTAATGACCGTATACTTTCTTATATAATTGGGTTTGATAGCCTTAAAGCTACCAGCAGCAATGGAAATGAGTGGTCACAAGTAACTAGTGAAGATATCCGGCTACGCATGGATGGCCTTTTTGAGCAGAAGGAGCAAGCCCTCCAATTTACCAGAGAATTTATAGCATTGTATACAAATGGACCAGCTGGTGGTGGTGGTATCAGGTCAATGTTACGTTAAATTTGCCTCTGCATTTATTTGATTAAAATTATTAATGGCCAATTTTTGTAGTGTAGAAAGAATTATAACTCTGTTGAATTGACAACCAATGTTCTTCTAATTTAATGTATACTGTGAAACTGTAATTTTATTAAAATGGTTTCTCTGAACCTGCTGCTCGATCTTCACGCTGCTTTGGATTATAAGATTCTGCACTATGCATTAGAATTGCAATGTTATTAAACAAACTTGATATTTATGACTTGGAAAACTCCTATTGTGAATGGAGTTGGAACAAAAGTTGAAACGAGGTTGTTAAACTTTTAAGAACTGGCTATGTTGTACTAGTTATCTGCATGTTAGTTCTTCATTTTGTTTTGAATGCAGTTATATTTGAGACACGGTCTTCCTTCTGCAGTAGACCTTTAGTGACATTGACATATTATTTATTTAAATGCAGCACTGGATATAAGAAGGAGACTCTTCTAGAAAAACATTTGGTATACTCTCTTCCCCCTTCCTCTCTCATGGATTTCCTCACACTGGTGTATATGCATGTACTAGGACTATAGTTAAACACATGGACCCGATAGACTCCAATGGTCTAATCAAACACCAAATTTTCAGCAAAATAATTTAGAGAAAAGTCTTTGTTATTGGAATAAGGCTTAGTTGTTCAATCAACATTATGCCTTAAGGAATGAGAACTAGGAAGTTATTTGTCAAAAATGGTAATGGTACATGTAGCATTTCATTGTATTGTAATGTTCCTTTTGAACTGATGAAGTCAGCCAATAAACTTGAACGTTCAATGAAACTTGTTATATCTTGAAGTGTATTTTGGTTGCAGTGCTAGTGATTTAGTCTTAATTATCCATTTTTCTAGAACTATCCATCATAGCTAGGATTTATTTTCAGGTTAAGCGCGAAGAAGTTTTCTGGCGAACCGGTATAAAGAGGAACACACTAAGTCAGTCAAAGAAAGTAGTTAATCCTGAACACAATCTGAAGCACACATTGACACTGCCAGCAAAACTACAAGCTGAAACTGACAAATCCTCTTCAGAATTTGATTTCCTTGGTAGTAGTTGCTCACATTCACCTGCCCCATCAGGCCAGAAGATTCCACTTTACAAGGTAGCACACAGCAGAGCTGGAGATAAAGGAAATGACATAAATTTTTCCCTCGTCCCACATTTTCCTCTTGATTATAAGAGGTTGAAACTAATTATTACATCTCAGTGGGTAAAATCAGTGGTCTCCCATCTTCTGGATTTGTCTCTTTCTCCTGATCTAGAAAGAAATCAAAGATATAAAAGGGTCAATGAAAATGTTATAGTGGAGATATATGAAGTCAAAGGAATCCAGTCACTGAACATTGTTGTTAGGAACATCCTGGATGGAGGTGTCAACTGTTCTCGAAGAATTGATAGGCATGGAAAGACCATTTCAGATCTCATACTGAGTCAACAAGTTGTTCTACCTCCTTGATTGTGTGATTTACTGCTATGTGGTAATGGTGTCATGATTGGAATGGAATTGAGCATTGCAAAAGTTAGTGATAAAATTTATTTTTAGGAACTGCTTTAATTGAAGTAGGACTCTAATTTTTTCATGTACCTTAGATGGGGGAGGGGAGCATTCCATTTTGCGCTCTGTAGTCTCTACACATAAATAGGATAATAATTGGCAAAAATTATTGTGGGAAGCCTTTTGATAATTTCATTATATTAAGTTGATGATTATATTTATGTGAAATATACTACATAACTAGCTTCGTGTCAAATGACATCTTATGATCCATTCAACTGACTTTATCGAGTGGAATAAGACTTTGTGGTTGTTTAATACTGCATATCTAGCTTCTGTTCTATTTAAACTCTGTTCTGTCATTTTGCCATGTTTTTTTTTTTTCTCTTCTTTACAAATAGCAGCTAAGCAAATTAATTATATGAACTTTTTATGCAGAAGTGATAGTCTGTTTGATTTAGGAAAAGAAGTCTGAAGAAACAAACGGAGTAGAAAATGAAATTATTTTTAAGTTTGTTTAGTCTCATGTTTGTTTATAAAGAAATAAGGTTACTTTTGTATTTTTATCAACATAAATATCCCTACTTAAGTATAGTTGTTGGCAAATGATTGATATTAACACTGAATTTGAATATGCAATTGATGTAAGATAATCAACTGGAGAAAATACTTTGGACTAAGTAGAAATTTGAAAAACTATAGAAAAGTTGGCTAAAGGATAGCAAGGTGTACTAAGAAAGACGGCCTTTTTTACCAAACAGGCTTAAAAAAAATGTTAGTTTTTATTGGAAGGGTCGAAATTTTTTACTAAAATGGGTTAAATAGTATCACATGTCCTAAATGAAAATACAAATTTGATTAAAATCATATTATATAACATACAATCTTAATGGTGTAGTTTTTTTTTTTTAAAACGTATTCAAATAATTTGTATTTAACTCGTGTTATTGATTCTATGTTTTTTTTAATAAGATTTTTTTAAAAATATATTATTAATCATATTATTATTCTAAATATATTATTTCTATTATTATTAATTATATTATTATTATTATTTCAAATATATCATTTCTATTATTATTATTATTATTATTAATCATACTATTATTTTAAACATATTATTTTTATTTTTATTATTAATTATATTACTATTTTAAATATATTATTATTATTATTATTATTAATATTTTTTCCTGTTTTTCTACTTTGTATTTTGTTCTGTTAATATTATTATTATTAACATAAAATTTTGTTCTGTTAATATTATTAGTATTTGTTGTGTTAGTACTGATTTTTTCTACCTTTTTCATTTTTTTCATATTAATATTATTATTACTATTATTATTATTATTATTATTATTATCTATAGTATTATTATTAATATTTTTTTCCTGTTTTTATGCTATTTTAATATTGTTATTATTAATATTTTTTTAGTTAGTACTAATTTGTTCTGCCTTTTTATTTTTTTATATTAATAATAATAATAATAATAATATTATTATTATTATTAAAAAAATCTTAGTTTTTGAAAAAAAAAAAGAACTCATGCTACACGTTATAAAAAAAAACTATGATTTTATTATAAGAACTCCCTATTTTACACCATTTAACCCATTTTGATAAAATTAAAATTTTTTGACTCCATCAGATAAAATCAACATCCTTTTTAAAACCTAGTAAAAAAAGCCCAGAAAGACCACCGGTGCAAGTTAGATTAACAAGCAAATTACACTGAACTAATAAGATTGACAAACAAACTGTACTTAAATACATCAATGTTGATCTTATTTATTTTTCAACAAAAATGAAACTTGGAAACAAATTTCTGCTAAGAAATACATGGAACACCCTTACTTTGATGACCTGGTTAAGAGACCTAATCTTTGTGAGAAGAGAACGAATTAATTAAAGAATTCACATATAATATTTTAGTTTCTTTCTCTCAAGGTTATATCAAAATCTATTCCTAGATGATTAATGATGAGCATGGGCATGCGCAAGATGACACGCAAAAATGGAGAAATGTTAAAATTATTGATGATTCCCATTTAATTTTTATTATTTAAGGAATTGTGGAACAATTTTACTTCTGAGAATTTATATTATTTGGACTCTTCAATTAAATTATTTATACTCAATTTTATTGTACATGTAGAATCTAAGTCTATATTTAGCTTTCATTGGTTAAACATTATTTTAAACTAACTTTACAAACTATAATTATTTTAAATAAGCAAATACTAGTCTAAATTAGGGGATAGAAAACATCTTAACAAATTCCAAATATCTTGATAAATAGAGGAGGAACTCTTTTCTTGTTTCTAGGTTCAAGATTGGAGGAGAAGAACCAGGAGCCTGACCACTCACTATAGAATAAACCAATTCCAAACATCTTAGCATCTATTTTTAACTTTTTTATTTCCTTCTTAACTATGAAATCTACATCTTAATTACCAAAATAGTAAAAGAAAGAAAAGTTGGAAATAGCTAATTTTGTTCCATCCAATAATTTCTTCTAATTAAAGTGGTCAAACCTACCAACCTGTTTTCACTCCATTCAATTAGATGATATCCACAAATCACACACAACCTTTCCATTTTTGACTCAAATTATTTAGGATCTGCAATCACTTGTGAACCATTTAGCACCGGTAGGATATGTTAATATAAGTTACTTTCATCTTCCACATATCCAAGACTTTGTTCAGTTCCCTGTTGTCTGAGGTGTGCATAGTTCAACCCCTCTTTGTTCCTCAGACATCCCCAAAGGGAAAATAAATAAATAAATAAAATAAACACCAGCAATAAAAGGAAGGGGAGAAACACAAGCATGTCATTCACAGGAACTCTTGATAAATGCAAGGCATGCGACAAGACTGTCTATGTGGTTGACTTGTTAACTCTTGAAGGCACTCCTTACCATAAAAATTGCTTCAAATGCAGTCACTGCAAAGGATATCTTACGGTATAATAACCCTTCCTTCATTTTCTTCAAGTCTTCCCCTTTTGATTTTACTATTGTCTATTTATAACTCCAATGTGGAATCAGAGTGATCATAGTTAAGAGGGTAAAAGGTAATTTCTTTATAAATCATTGCACAAAATCTTCTATGGTGATTGTTCTGATTTCATGATTTTGTGAAGGAAATAGTAGAAAAACCAAATCATATTTTCAAAAGCATGAAGGGATCAGCAAATCCTTTTTTTCTTTCAATCACTGTTTTTTTGTTTTCATTCAGAAGGTTTAAGACTGAGATCTTGCTTGTTTTACTAATCCCTCAAATATTTTGATAATAAATCGTTTTGAATACAAAATAACTTAATTCTCACACACATTGTGGTAACTGCATATGATACGATTCATTAAAAAAATTATCCTTCAGAAATTGTTCCCAAATATGGGCTGCCATTGATATACTACTCAATGTTGATCAGATGTGCACATACTCCTCAATGGATGGAGTTCTCTATTGCAAGCCACACTTTGAACAACTCTTCAAGGAATCTGGCAACTTCAGCAAGAACTTTGGTGAGAGGAAGAACTTTTTTGGCCAATCTTTTCGTGTTATTCTTCTAATAATTCATCTAACCTTAGATTAAATGACAAGTAGGTAGTAACATGTCAATTTCTGTTATTTACACTAATGAAGCTATGTTGTTTTCTTGACTGTAACGTTGCAGCAAAGTCTACTGAGAAACAAAATGACATAGTATGTTCCCTATCCTTCTTTGGCACATTACTTTACCAATTAATTTTATAACCATATACTTTCCATGTGATATCTTCCTATGTGTAATTATGAATTCTTGTGTTCTCTTTCTAATATGCAAGTTATCATGATCATTAACAGAATAGGACCCCCAGCAAGCTATCTTCCATGTTCAGTGGAACCCTGGACAAATGTGCAGTTTGCACAAAAACAGTCTATCCTCTGGAAAAGGTTTGTGATCTCTGGAACAAGTTTGTAGTGTCACATTTCTTATCAGTCCTAAAAAAAGGCACTACTTCACATCTATAAACAATGACAGTGACAACATCTTATAAGACCATTGACTTTTAAAATTACTTAAACTAACCATGCATGGAAATTTGGTTTTACTAATGAAATAGGTGACACTGGAAGGAGAATGCTACCACAAGACTTGCTTTAGGTGTGCTCATGCTGGGTGCCCTCTGACACATTCAAACTATGCTGCCCTTGATGGAGTCCTCTACTGCAGGGTCCACTTTCAACAACTCTTCATGGAGAAAGGGAACTACAGCCATGTGCTCCAAGCTGCTGCACACAAGAGGACAGGTTCCTCTACACCTCCCGAGCCTCTATTTGAGGAGCCATCACATCCACCACCAGCATCTGAGGAACCTAAAGTAGAAGAAGAAGAAAAAGAAGAAGAAGAAGAAGAAAAGGAAAAGGAAAAGGAAAAGGAAAAAGAAGAAGAAGAAGAAGAAACCTCTTGAATGAAATGTTTCCATTCCCCTCACACTCCTCTCTTGCTTGCAGATTGAGCAAGGTCTTTGGTTCAAGTTCTCTACCCTCAACAGTTCTTACAAATTACTCTTTAGTTTCTTTGTAAGCTAACTTGAGAGGTTTCTTAATGTATTCGAAAGTTTCAAACAAATGTTTGAGCAATGCATGTTTTCTTTTAATACTTCTCTTGGAGTGTCTATGAACTTCAAAAGAAACTTCAATAAATTTTTGTTCATTCTTATTTGAGTACTCATCAATTTCTGTTTATTGTTAAACTAATCATATTGATTTAAATTCTTTACATTACTCTTAGTTTCTTCTTGTTGTTTTTGTTTTTGTTTCATATGATACAAAACATATTGTCTGGTATAAAAAGTGCGAAGTAACTAAACAAAATAAAATGAAACATTTAATAATCTCATACTTAATCTAACATAGGTATGTAGAAGAGGAAGTACAATTATTTTTTTATAAATTATTATTTTGAATAATAATGTTATTACATGAAAATAAAATAATATTAATAAAATATTTCAGACATTGGAATAAAGTGGAGAGAATATGCCCTTTGAATCACAGAGAAAAACTTCTAGACAAAACACGTTCGGATATTTTCTTTGCATCTAGTTGCTGAGTCCATTCATCACAACACTCTTCACGCGCTGCTATATATTTCACCAATTTCTTTATTTTAAATTCAAATACATAATTTTATATATTTTAAAATTTTAAACTAATTAAACACATCTTTAAATTAAACTCACTTATTCATAATTTTTCATAAAAAAACAAATCATCAATTTCATCCTAAAAATATTACCATTCATACAAAATAAGTAATGACAGTATTCAAGGAATTTTCTAAATATTCAAAGTATAATCCTTATAGATGAAATTGATAGCTTATTTTATATTAAAATTTATCTTAATTTTATTTTATATTATTTTTCAATAAAAAATCATTATTAAGATAAATTGTTATTTATTAATAACATAGTTTTTTTATAAGAATAATATATAAATAAAAAATATAAAATAAATTATAATTATCTCCTTTAATATTATCCTTTTAATATGATTTTTTATTTTTTTAAATAACATTATTCATTAATTTTTCTTATTATAACCTATTTATAAAATACGAGGATATTGTTAAATGTAGAAAAATCAATTTGGATTCACATTTATTTAATTATAAATAATTTTTGTTTGTATTTTACTATAATAATAATATCTCACTTTTATTTCCATGTCAACTAGAAAAAAATTTATGCTTAATTTAAATATTTTAATAAATATTCTATAAATATAAATAAAAAACTCTAAAATTTATAAAATAAAAGTTTATACACCACATATTTATAAATAAAATTATTCTAAAAAAATTAAATCTAAAATATTTACATTATATAATAGTTATAACACAATGAAAATTAATCTTCTATTTAATATATTAAATCACCTTTTAACTAATTCAAGTCAAACATATTTAAGAGAAAGTATAAAGACATTCTTGGGGTTAAGAAAAGATTAAATGTTACATTTATAATGCAAACTATTATTTTTAATAATATTTTATTGAAATTATCATAATTAGAGAGTTTTTATTAAATAATTAATAACATATTCTATAATTTTTATTATTACATAAATTATATAATAGCTTTATTATAACATATTCTCTATTTTTTATTATTCTCTATTTTTTATAAAACACTAAAAGAAATCACGATAAAGCTAGTCAGATAAGAAACATTAATCCAAAATTGTCTCATTTGTAATAAATTTAGAATAATACTAATTTTATATAACTACATTATTATTTATCAATTTTCTTGATTACAATAGAGGCCCACGCGCGATAACAGGAGGTGAAGACAAAACTCTTGGATTTGTGAATAATATCTTCTCCCTCCTCTTCGTATATATCTGCTTACTCACTTCGCTGACCGTTTAACAGAACACGCAAACAACTCATCAATTCATTTTTCATCACTCATCAACACACAACACGAATTTGTGATTTCCATTTCATTTTCTCTGCTCGAAGCTCTCCATTCACTTCTCTAAGTTTCGGTAATAATTTCATGACTATTCCAATTCCGCCGTGCTGAATACACTTCTCTTTGTTTTATTTATTTTGAAATGATTTTTCTGTTGAATTGAATGAATGTGAGAAAACGGAAATGCTTCTACGTGCATGTCTGATTATAGCATTCACACTCTGAAGTGAATATTATTCACTGATATAGTATGTTTCTCAAAATCGCTATTGAGTTGTGTTTGAACTTGATTTTGAGTTCCAAACCTTGTTGTGTACAGTGTTGAAAGCTGTTGAGGTTTCTAATTCTGTTTTGGACCGTTTTACCTTGTTTCAGTTTTTCTGAGGAGTTGGTTGTTGCATGCATTGAAGAGAAGTGACTCCTTGAGAGTGTTTTGTTTCGGGAGAGAACATGGATATACCTTTTAGGTTACCGCAGTCAAATATGGTATTGGATGGTTTGGATTCTTGCGTTGTATTTGGAGGCAGAGGTTTTGGTTGTGCTTTTCACGGCAACTTGAGGACTAGTTCAAAGGTTCGTTTTAGTGGAATGAACAAGATAGGTAGTAGGAGTGGTTTGAGGGTAGACTGTTTAGGAGAGTTGAAAGTTTCGAGTGGGAAGAGAAGTTTGTGTTGGAAGAGAAATAAACTTTTTAGGGGGAATAGGAAAATTTGGACAAAGTGTCAAGGTAACGATTCTTTAGCATATGTCAATGGCAATGGACGGAATGTTGATAGGGTGGAAGGTGCAGATGAGGACTCTGGTTCCAATGCTGAATCGAGTGAACCTTTTGGAGAAGCAGGGCAAGGAGAGAGGAAAGAAGATGGGGGTGAAGTAGTAGAAGTGCAAAATGTGGATGAATTGAAAGAACTGTTGCAAAAGGCCAAGAAAGAATTAGAAGCTGCTCGAGAAAAAAACATTGTATACGAGGAAAAAGTTAAGAAGATATCAGAGACTGCGATTTATTTGCAAGATGAAGCAGCAAGTTCTTGGAACAATGTTACTTCTACCCTTGATATCATCCAAGATATTGTGAGTCAAGAATTTGTTGCCAAAGAAGCTGTTCAGAAGACAACTATGGCTCTTTCTCTGGCTGAGGCACGGCTTCAAGTAACCTTAGACTCTTTGGAGGTTACAAAAGCAGCTTACGACTCCCCACGAGGTTCTAACAACAGTAATGGTGATAAAGAAATAATGCAAGAGGAGAAAGAACTTTTGGTTGCTCAGGAAGATATCAAGGAATGCCAGAAAAATTTAGCAAATTGCGAGAATGAGCTGAGATACTTGCAATGCAGGAAGGAGGAGTTGCAGAATGAAGTGCACAAATTGCATGAAATTGCAGAACAGGCGCAGGTGAAAGCAGCAAAAGCAGAAGAAGATGTCGCAAACATAATGCTGTCAGCAGAAAAAGCTGTTGCTGCGGAACTTGATGCTGCACAACACGTGAATGATGCAGAGATTGCATTGCAGAAAGCAGACAAATCTGCCTCTAGTTTTAATGCTGATACCAATGACACTTTACAAGTACAAGAGGTTGTGGCTATTCCTGAGGAGGAGGAAGTGGTTCAAGGTTTTTCTGGTGATGACGTTGATAAAAGAGAGGCTGATTTTTCAATTGATGATGAGCCTTTGCTTACTATGCAATCACCAGAAGCACAATCAGATAACAATAGGCAAAGTTTCGAAGACATGGCACAGTCTGATTATCTTAGTGATCATGAGAACAGACAGTTAAGCTTAGATTTTTCTAAAGAAGCTGAAGATGAAATAGAGAAGTCAAAGAATGTAGTTCAAACAAAAAAGCAGGAAACACAGAAAGATTTGACTAGAGATAATTCACCGGTTGCTCCCAAGACATTATTGAAGAAATCTTCCCGATTTTTCCCTGCATCATTCTTCTCTTTTACTGCAGATGAGACTGATTACACACCAGCATCAGTTTTCCATGGTCTTGTGGAGTCTGCACAGAAGCAACTGCCCAAGTTGATTGTTGGGTTATTGTTAATTGGAACAGGGTGTGTATGACCTTTTTTTACCCTGATCCTTTTTTGCTGTTATTTTTATTTCAAACTTGTCAGAAACAATCTTGAAGTAGACATCATATGACTGACAGAAATATTTATGGTATAGGAGTAAAACGTTCAAAAAATTAGGATGACAATTTTTAGCCTTTTAGTAACATGATGGAAAAATATTCACTAGCTTGTTTAAAAACTGTTTGTGGTATTAAATTCCTATCCTGGAAGTTTATGATTTTCTACATGACATGCCAATTTGATGCACAGATCAATATGAGGTTTTACTCTGGTTTTTGAAGACGAGGTGGAATTTTATTTCAGGCTAGTGTTCTATACCAATAGAACAGAGAGGAGTGCTCAGCTGCTTCAGCAGTCAGAAGTCATTGCAACCACTGTTGAAGAAGTTTCTTCAACGCCAAAGCCTCTGGTTAGGCGACTTCAGGAGCTTCCCAGCAGAATTAAGAAAATTGTTGCATCATTACCGAATCAAGAGGTTTGTTTTACTTCAATATATGCCCTATTGTTAACTTTTTATCTGACCCTGCATGGTATTTATCCTAGGTGGATGAGGAGGAAGCCTCCCTCTTCGACATGCTTTGGTTACTCCTTGCAAGTGTTGTATTTGTACCAATATTTCAAAAGATTCCTGGAGGTAACTAGGTTGGCATGTTTTCTTTATGCTGGATTGAAAGAATAAGGAAGTTGTTTGTCTAAATGTTATACATAAGCTTGAATTTGATCAGGAACCAAACTTTATATATTGCTTACATGAAAATTTTGGTGTATAGATTATAGTTGTTTCCTTTTTTGGCTAACATTTCTTTTCCTATGTCACCATTTGTTCTTGAGAAAAATGTTTAAGGTTCAAAGACAGAATCAAATGATACAATATTGTTATATTTATAGATGAGAGAGAGTACAAACAAGAGGTTGAGCCTTAGCCCAAACCCTAACCCTAACCCTAATCCTAGGAATATATATAGGAAAAGACTAAAATTAAAAGCAAATCTCAACATTCTCCTTCAAGCTGGAGCATATGGATTGTATGTACCAAATTTGGAATGTATAAATTGAATCCTAGGTCCTCTTGGAGATTTAGTTAAACCTAAGTTGTTCATTGGAGTTCACAAAACCGGTAATGAGTTCCTTGAATAACAACTTCTCTGAGACAAAATGACAATCAATCTTAATATGCTTTGTTCTCTCATGAAACACTGGATTGAAGACAATATAAATAGCCGCTTGATTATCACAATACAACTTCATCTGCTAAGTATCATAAAATTTCAATTCTTGAAGGAGTCGTTTAATCTTTTGATTAGGATCCATCAAACTATCAATGAGTTTGCAATATATCAAGCTTGTCTATTTCAAAATATCAAGAGCATATTTCCTTTGTGAGATTATCACACCTTCCTTTGATTGGGCGACTTCAATACTAAGAAAATACTTCAAATAACCAAGATACTTGGCTTGAAAGTGACCAATCAGATGTTTTTTCAATTGACTAATCTTAGTGGAATCATTGACAAGATCATCAACATAAACCATTAGATAAACACATTTCCCTAAAGAAATATGACAAAAATATTGAACGATTTACCTCACTCCTTTTCAAGGCAAACATCTGCACAATATAACTGAAGTTTCCAAACCAAGGTCGAGGTGACTGCTTCAAATTATAAAATGATTGGCTTAGTTTACACACCAAACCAAACTCTCCTTGAGCAACGAATCCAGGAGGTTGCTCTATATAAATCTCTTTCTCAAGATCACCATAACGAAAAACATTCGTAATATCAAGTTGAAGTGAACAATGATGAATAACAATCATAGTAAAAAAGAATCAAACAATGAAAATCTTAGCTACAACAAAAAAGGTGTCACAGTAATAAAAACTATAAATTTGAGTGTAGCCTCTAGCCACTAAGCGAGCTTTGAAACAATTCACTTTACCCTTAAGACCAATCTTAACTGCATAAATCCATTTACAATCCATAGTCTTCTTGCCAGGAGGAAGAGAGACACGATCCCAATTGTCATTGTGGTCAAGATCCTGCATTGAGTATATAAGTAATGGATAAGGAAAGAACAAAACACGAATTTGAAGGAGACAAATGATGATAACTTGAAAGTGTAAAAATAGGAAAGGGATTACAAGTAGAATGAATACCTTTTCAAAGAGAAATAGACTAACAAGAGACAAAATCAAAAGTAGAGGATGAGGAGGAAGGATCCATTATATGAGAATTTGGTGGTGGAGAATTTGAATCACAATGATATTTAGGTATAGGTAGAGAAATAGGTTGAACTCTACATTGATATGTGAGAAGTGGGGGGGGGGGAGGGGGCGTTCGGTGTTACTTGCAGGATGAGTTGGAGACAGTGCATGTATTATAAGTGGATCACATGAGGGTATAAGGAGAACATGTTGAATAGGAGGAACATTGACCATGTGAGAAGAGAAGAAGGGTGTGTCCTCAAAGAAGGTAACATCAATAGACATATAATACCTTTCCTTGAAGAAGAGTAACATTTATACCCTTTTTAAAGGCGAGAATACCCCAAGAAAGTATATTTAATGGCCTTTGCATTAAGTTTATCAAGATTTGGAGAGATATTTTGAACAAAATAGGTACATTCAAATACATGTGGGGACACATGAAAAAGAGAATCATCCAAAAAAAATAAGAGAGTGAGGAATTTGATTATTGAGAAAAGAAGAGAGCATTCTATTAATTAGAAAACAAGCAGTGAGAATTGCATTTCCCCAATGATGAACATGAACATTAACATTCAACATTAGATAGCGTGCAATCTCCATAAGGTGCCTATTTTGCCTTTCCGCCATACCATTCTGTTATGGGGTGTGAGGACATGTAGATTAATGAAAAACCCCGTGGGAAGATAAAATGAGAAAAAAGATACAAATATGGATAAAAGTTCAGATCTATCTTTCATTAAGTAAATCTAAGTACATCTAGACAATTTATCAATGATGGTTACAAAATATAAAAAACCAAAAGAGAGGACACGATTTGCTCCCTAAATATCAAAATGAACGTTGGAAGAAAGAGAATTACATTGAGTTTTAGACTTTTAAGGAAATATAGACCTAACGTGTTTTTCCAATTGACAAGATTCACATTGTAAGACCTAAAGTTATGTGAAATTAGGAACCATCATTTTCAACTTTGGTAAACTTGGGTGACCCAAATGATATGCAAAAGTTTTGGAGGGGCTTCGATTCAAATAATAAAGGCTGCATAATTCATGTCTTTCTCCAATCAGATGACTCACACCATGAATAACAAAAAAATTAGAATTAAAGATTACTAAACAATTTAGAGAGCGAGTCAATTAACTTAGAGAAGTCAAGTTGTAAGGACAACTAAGAATACAAAAAACAGAGTTTAAGTTTAGTGAAGGTGATAAAGGGACTTGGCCAACTCTTTGAGATGTAAGTTTGGATCCATTAGCTATGATAACCAAGTGAGGATTTTTAGGATAAGACATGAAAGAAAAAGAAGAATTGTTACCAAATATATAATTAGAGGCACTTGAATCAAGAATGCAGTGGTTCTGACCTCCCATAAATTGAAAAATACATGTTGTTGAAACATTTGACATTGATGAAGATTGACTCTGATCGTTGAACTTCTCAAATTTGAACCTCAAAAGTTCTTGATAATCTTCATCATGAATCTTTATGTCTAACTTTTCAGATTTAAAAACATGGACAACTTTGTCAGGGAATCTATGCCAAGAATAATAATTTTCCAGTGTGTACCTCGTTCTCTTGCAATAAGAACATTGAGGATGTACGCATCTATCACCACATTTTCCTTGACTATTGCGTTCTCCTCCTCCTTCACGAGGTAAAACCATTGTTGATGTTTCAATAGATTCAACTTGACACTCATCCTTTATCAGGTTGGATACTTGAATAAGTTTAGTGACTAAGCTATCCATGGAAGAAACTTGATCACCAACCCAGATTTGATCACACACATGATCAAAATCAAAGTGTAAACTCTTCAAAATCAGGACCATGTACAACTTATCAAGTTTCATATTAGCTTTTTCAAGGTGCTCGCCACTAGAAACCTCTTCACTTCTTCTACAACAGCCCTAGCCTTCGCAACATGATATATCATGTCGTGGTCTGTTTAAGAGAAGTTACCCTTTGAGTTGCATCTAAGAGACATTGGGTATCATTAGCAAAGAAATCTTGTGCTTTCTTCCAAAAAGAAGAACAAGTCTTGAATGACCTAATAATTTCTAAAACATTCGGTTCAATAGATTGTCATAATATTACACAAAGTTAAAAGTTTATCTTCTGTTACTAAAGCCTCTCTGAATTAGAAATGAAATTATCTTTAGTTTCTAAATGGTTATGGTACCCTTGACCTAGGAGCCATAACTCCAGAGATGCAGACCAAGATAAATCATTTTTCTAGTTGAGTTTGACATTAGTAATAGTGAGAGTTGCAGAGAAGGGAGAAAAGTTGGTTGTAGACATTTTAAACAAGGAAAACAAGGGAGAAAACCCTAACTAAGAGGGAGAAACCTGAAACCCAACCCCTAAAGATTTCAAAACATAGACATAAGGGCACCACTGGAAGCAGAAGGCGCCGACGAGACTAATGAAGGTGATCAGACATGGTTCTCGTCATTGGAAGGCGGTGCATGATGCTCACGTGCTAGAAATTGACCATGCTTGGAGCAACGTGTGATGATGCATGGGGCAAGACATTGCACTTGGTAGGGTTAAGCCACACTTCTCGATGTTAATGTATATTAATGTAATTTATTATCTATTTAATAGGTTTATTGCTGTATTATTCTATACCTTTTATGTCCTAACTGTTAGGAAATATTCGTTAATCATTCCCTGTAATTGGAAATCTCCAACTCTCCCTTGTATAACTACATTAATATCTCATCTTTCTGAAAAGCATATATCATGCTGCCTATTTAAGGGAGAAAAGTGGAAGAAGGAAAATAAGCTTTCGATAATAGAAGTTCTTGTCATTCTAATAATATGTTTTCTAGTATCTTGATGTTTTGACACTCGAGGCACATGAAACCCTGGTCTCACTTGTCAAAATTGATGATGGTAGACGGCATCGGAGATGGCAGATGACAGCTCTGACTAGTCGGTGATGACAAAAACAAAGGCAATCAGTATGGGATCTTACCCGCTCTGATTCCAATTTGAGAGAAATGTTTAAAGTTCAAAGATAGTATAAAATGATACTAGTACTATTATATTTATAGATGAGAAAAAATACAAACAAGAGGTTGGGCCTTAGCCCAAACCCTAATCCTAGGTATATATATATATATATATATATATATATATATATATACTAAAAATAAAAGGGTTGCTTTGCTTATGATTATGATAATTAATTTCATTTGTTTGTTTAGTTATGATAGTAAATGAAGTTGCTTTGCTTGAAGAAAATTTGATTGTTGAATTGAATAAAAAAAGGGGTTGCTCTTCTTATCATCATCTGAATTATGTTTTGGGATAGGGAATTCTTTTTAAGTCATACTTTGGTAAAATTGATTGTCTGACAAATCATCTCTATCTGTAACAATGTTTAGGCAGTCCTGTTCTTGGCTACTTGGCTGCGGGTATCTTGATTGGGCCTTATGGTCTCTCCATAATTCGTCATGTACATGGGACAAAAGCAATAGCTGAGTTTGGAGTTGTTTTCCTGTTATTCAATATTGGGCTGGAGGTGGAGTTTTCTATAAGATCTTGTTCTGTCTTAGCTTTGATCATCATTAATAAAGATTGAACTGAAGCTCTGAACTTTGTTTTTATAGCTCTCTGTTGAAAGGCTTAGTTCAATGAAGAAATATGTCTTTGGATTAGGCTCTGCTCAGGTGATGGGAAAACTCCATCTTCCGTCCTTATTATTGTTGTTTACCTTATGCTAGACAATCTCACAGTTCTTAGCATGTGTGGAAAAATGTAGGTTTTGGTTACTGCTGTAGTTGTCGGCTTTGTGGCTCATTATATTTGTGGTCAAGCTGGCCCTGCTGCTATTGTCATTGGGAATGGTCTAGCATTATCATCAACTGCTGTTGTTTTGCAAGTAAATAACGTTTGATCTGGCTTTTAATTTTTACTCTGCAAAACATTCACAAGCTACTACTTCTCTACTTTATACTTCTATTTAATGTAAATTCAAATAAGGTGATATCTACCTTTCTGAAAATATTAATTGTAACTGGATTTTCATTGTAGTCTGCCCGTCTTAATAATGTCAATGTCACTAGTGGATGGGTGACAGATGTCCCACTTTGAAAGATTTTGAGACAGTGTTCTTTTTTGTTGTTTGAAATTTATGTTTTCAGGTCAGCCAAGTCTGTCATTTGGCAATAATTCAAATGAACTTGTTTTGCAGGTGTTACAGGAGAGAGGTGAGAGCACATCGCGGCATGGAAGGGCTACATTCTCTGTTTTGCTTTTTCAGGTTACCTTATAATCTTAACCATCTATCTAGAAACTGCAAGATTTTCTTGTAAAAGCAATATGTGGCTACATTCTCTGTTTTGCTTTTTCAGGTTACATTATAAACTTACCATCTATCTAGAAATTGCTAGATTTTCTTGTAAAATAAAATATTGAATGATGTCATACTTGTAATATGTATTTGGCTAAACTTCGTCATATATGATACATTTGCTTCAATTTCCTATACCATGCTTTTACCTTCAGGAATTTGGATAACTGAACTTCATGTGCTATAGTGACAAAAATATGTTATGTTGGTCAAGTATTCTACATGGATATAAAACTGAATACAACATATGGAGATAGTAGAGAGAAAAGGGTTTGCAGAATGGATTACTGGAAGTGTTCGTAGATTGGATTAGATAGGTTTAGAGGAGTAAAAGTGTTTAGTCATATTCCATTGTTTTTATTTTATTTTAACATTCAATCAATTTGGTTTTAAATTGAAAGTGATTTGAATTGGATCAGTTTTTTTTTTAATTTTATATTATTTATTTTATAAAAAAGTAATAAAAAAACCTTGATATACACAATAAATATAATATAGCCTATTCAATGTATAAAATATCTAATTCAAAATGTCAATTTTTATAGGCCATAAAAATTAATAGATTTTATTTCAGATTCAGTCTATTGAAAAGAAATAGCTAACATTTTAAAGTTACATATGATTAAAGATATGGTTTGATTACATCTGTTGAAAATCCCACACCATTAGAGATATGGCTAAATTGTACTATATAAATGAGGTGCAAATATTACTTTCTAAACTGATTCTGTAAAGTTGAGTTAAACACAAATTCAATTTCTAATATGGTATAAGTGCATATCTCCAGTGAGAGGGCCAGTGTTGGAAAATATAAGTAGGGTCAAATCTTACCTTAGAAGCCGATTTTGTAAAATTGAGTGAAACTCAAATTTACTTTCTAATTAGATAAAATAGGAAAATATCTTAGCAAAAATTTGTCATTATTAATTATTGATTTTTGTTTCTTATTACTGTATCTCTTCATTATAAACAAGAATACTTGTGTACACAACAAGTAATTACAAATAATTTTTTCAATATGGCATAAAAGCAGTACCATGATCTATCGCTCGTTTTGTCTCTAATATGTTGTTAGGCCATGATATTTTTCCTAGCTGCATTGTCCCCGGTTTTGTCACATAGACTTTCTCTCTTTAGTAAAACAACTGCTACAGATCTTCAAGGGTTTAATGACATTTGTAAGAAGCTGTGACATATGATACATATACCCTGTTTGAGAGGGAATGTAAAGACGTGATTGGATTACATTAAATAAGAAAATAAGATATAATTTGATTACATAAAATAGGAAAATCTCTTAGTAAGTACTTCTTATGATTAATGATTGATTTTTTTTTTTCTTATTACTATATCTCTTCATCATAGTTAGAATACTCTTGTGTACACAACGCACATTTACAAGTAACCCTTTCAATACATCATAATGGAGAATTAAATAATATAGTACTTTCTTGAATATCTCGTGATAATGGGTATGAATGGTATGATGATTTCATAAATAAAAGTATATTATGTGCACATTAGTTTGATTCGATCGGCTTGAATTGGTTTCCAAAATTGAATCTGAAACCCATAAGGATAAAATACAAACCTATTGGAATTTGCTATAAATAACCCTTATCCTTTGACTGATACTAAACAATCATTCTCCTAGTGATATTGTGAAACTAAAATTTGCTGTCATGGGTTGGGCTAGTTTTCTGTGCACACATTTATATATTTGGCATTTATTTAGTATGTTGGTATAGATTCTCAATCAACTAGGATCCTCATTGTCTCTATCTTGTAATTGTTATGTGAATCTTTTATGACATTGATTGTTTACTATTTTTATCTTTAACTAACTTCGGTATTGCAATATTTTCACCCAAAATTGACTATTGTGTCTTTGTTTCTATTCAGGATTTGGCTGTTGTTGTCTTGCTAATACTCATACCTCTAATTTCACCTAATTCTTCCAAAGGAGGGGTAACATTTTCTAACATTCTCTCTTAAAATATCTTATCAGATAGTAGACAATATTATGGTCATGAGATTTAGAACTTGACAAATACTGTGTAGCACTAGAATCTATGACAAGGGTGTTCTGATATGATCAACCCCCTAAACACTCAATATAGGAGCTCTTTATTGTTTAGAGATTTAACTGGATAATTTAATTTTTATATTTTTATGATATATGCATTAAAAGGACCTAAGCACACTTCGGTGTTGTCCATGTTAAATGCTTGATTGGAATCCAATAGCTTTACCTTATTTCTGTAGCTGTCATCATTGTTGCCACTTGTATACCGATGTTATTACTGTCTTTTTGTAAAATATCAATCTTTGCCTTCAGGTTGGTTTTCAAGCCATTGCTGAAGCTCTTGGTCTGGCTGCTGTAAAGGCAGTGGTTGCCATTGCAGCCATAATTGCAGGTGGACGATTGGTAAGTGATATTCAGAATTGAGATGCAGATGTGTCATTTCTATGTACTAATATACTTCAAATTTGCTTAATTTTTTCTGATATATTGAAATATTTGCATTTTCTTTTTTGTTCATCTATTTTGTTTTTAATAATCTTAATATGATTATTTTGTTAAATCATCATATAAGACATGAAGTGTAACAATAAACTATTAATTCTATTGTTCAGAGCAGATATGATGACATCTAAAAGTTGCATGGTGTAGAGTTTTAATGTATATTTTTCAATGACCATCGATCTATAAACTGATGTCATGCACATTCAAGTATTATACTTAACATGGTAGTAGATTGAAGTTTCTAACCATAACTACTCATCATTTATGGAATGCATAAATTCAGTTGCGTATATTGGTGGAGACAAGTTTTGCATTGTAGTGGTTGAACATTGAGGTCTTGGGTAAAGTTTGTAGACTTATTAGGATTAAACGGAACCGGCATTTAACATAGTTAATGTATCAAAATCCTATATATCATATAAAAGTTTTACTTTGCAAAGGAGTAAGTCTTATATGTTTGGGTTCTTTTGGAAGGAATTTTGTGATATTTCTTTATTTCATTCTAACTATTGCTATGTAATTTTTCTCAATTTATTTGCACAGCTCCTTCGACCAATATATAAGCAGATTGCAGAGAATCAAAATGCAGAAATATTTTCTGCCAATACACTCTTTGTTATTCTTGGGACTAGCCTTCTCACAGCCAGGGTAAGTGTTTGTACCAATGTTTTTCCATTCCCCTTTTTCCCGTTGTTTGGTTTTGAGCCAAGCCGAGGTTTGATAGTGTTCTTGAAGTTAATCTTGTGTCCATTGACGTGATGACTTTTTTGGTGTGGTAACCATACTCTTTTTACCTTTTTTTTATATGTTTTTTGTTTACTTCATTAAAACAGGCTGGGCTTTCAATGGCATTAGGGGCATTTTTGGCCGGTTTACTACTGGCAGAAACAGAGTTTTCCTTACAGGTTGAATCTGATATTGCTCCATATCGTGGCCTTCTACTGGGTCTCTTCTTTATGACGGTTTGTACTTAATATTCCAATTTAAAATCTAGCTAGTTGTATTTTATATTTTATTCATGCAACATTATCTATATTATAGTTTAACGAGTTGTTTCATTGCTTATGTTGGAATAATTCTTATGTAAGTCTACAGCAAGCAATGACTGCCTTTACATTTGTCACTTTCTGTGTAAGCTAGATTCAAGCTGTGTAATTGATGGTAAGTAATTTTTGTGGCTTTTTAGGTTGGAATGTCAATTGATCCAAAACTTCTTGTTTCAAACTTTCCAATTGTTGCTGGGACCTTGGGACTTTTGATATTTGGCAAGACTTTGTTGGTTTCTTTAATTGGTAGAATATTTGGTATTTCTCTCATTTCTGCCGTTAGAGTTGGTCTTCTTCTTGCTCCTGGGGGAGAATTTGCATTTGTGGCTTTTGGTGAAGCTGTTAATCAGGTTTATACCCTAAAAACTTGCTTCCGTAGAGTTCACTGGATTATAAATGATTATTATGTTTATTTCAAATAGCTTGTAACCACAACTTTTTCTTGATGCATATAACTTCAACTTATTTATAATTAGTATGCTTGTAACTTCAACTTTTTCTTTTTTATCTTTGAAGAAAAATGGAAGTTGAAAACACAAAACATTGATTAATTTTTCCCTCGTTCAAATTCAACTAGCTATAAAAACTAAAATATTTTTGCTATTTGATACTTATGCAGGGCATAATCTCTTCCCAGTTATCTTCCTTACTGTTTCTTGTTGTGGGAATTTCAATGGCCCTCACTCCTTGGCTAGCTGCAGGAGGCCAGCTCCTGGCTTCCCGTTTTGAGCTGCATGATGTTCGGAGTTTATTACCTGTAGAAAGTGAGGTAAGATCACCTAAACAGTTGACTGACTGCATAAGGCTGTGAAATTTGTAGCTATAGCACCAACTCTGCTAGTGTTTATCTTCATAATTATAACGACACTGATTGTTAGGGCTGACCAAAATAATTGAATTGAACTTAAACTTTTAATAACTGAATTAAACTGAACTTAAGAAAAAGTATACTTAAAACTAAGCTAAACATAAACTGTTTTATAAGATCAATTTTAAAACTAGACCATTTTAGAAAATAGTTCCTAGCACTATATAAAATTTCTGCAACAAAGGTGTTGTTATATAATACATCAACCATGTTACCTTTTTTTGTGGATGACACTGTCATGACAAATTTTCTGATAATTATTTCGTTCATATCAATATAGATTTTTTTTTTAAATTGTTGCAAAGCAGACAATTTTTTTAATAAACTATAATAGTGCAGCAAAAGTTTATAATATAGAACACTGAGCTTATAAATAGTCAGTATGTTATTAAAATTAAATAATTCATTCAGTTTTTAAGAAGTATTTTTCATTTCAGAACAATTTTGTTCAATTTTTTCTTTAGAACTAATTTATGAACAACCCTAACTATTGTGTTTCAACCATATATCTTAGTCAGAGAACTATAAATGTGTTTATTTTGTAGGATAGTTTATCATATTCGAAAGTTTAGATAGATTTGTGGAATCATGGACTAATTAAGCTAAATAGTAAACATTAATTCTACACTATAAAAATAATCATGTTCGGTACTGCATGATGACTACTATATAAGTTAAAACTACACAAAAAATAATTTGAACCTATCCCATTTCCAAAATTTTCATAATTTCAACAGATAATTAACGTGAAATAGAAAAATTAGATTAAGAGAAACACACACATGAGCCAATGTATGCAATTTTGACTGGAATATATGCATAACAGATAACAAACAAAACCCAACAGAGAACAAATCCCAATAATTAAAACAGAGAATAAAATGTGAGGCCTAGATGGAGGAGACCCTGTGCGACACGAGCCCTAGACAGATAGAGGAGACCCTGTGCGATGTGAGCCCTAGAAGGAGGGAGACGTCATGCAATGTGAGGGGAACAGCAGGAAACCTAAGACCTAGACACGTGCAATGTGGTGGAAAATAGCACAAAAATTGGGGGAAGAAGTCGCACAGCACACGTAGTAGAGGCAGAGTTGGGGGAGAAGACACCACCCAAGATACTGGAGGAGGAAGATGACTAAACAACAAGGAGAACGGAAACTTGACAAAGATGCAAACCTTTTTAGGAGAAATGAGGAAGGATCACAAACTCACTGACTTGGTGGACTTGAGACTTTGACCAATTCAGTCAAAGCCATTACAAGTCTACTCTAAAAACGAATTAAAAACGAATTTATTCATGAGTTAACTTGTGATTATGATTTGACTCAAATATTTGTCCAAGTTAGAGAGTTAACTAACTGGCAAGTTTGACAAGAATGTGCAGAACATCTTGGCAACTACACCCTTATAATTGGCAAGTTTGATTGCATGATTAACTTTTTCTAATTAATTGTCTGTGTTTATTATCTTAAAAATCTAGACTAGTTTAGTTTAGGAAATTTTACCACAACACATCCTACGCCTTTATTTGTAGACAATGGAAACAGTTAAATCAAATTGATTGAACATTTGTTATCTTTATATAGATATGAAATGTAAGATTAGTTGTTGACGTATTTTTGGAGGACATCTTTTACAGACTGATGATCTGCGAAATCATATCATTATTTGTGGATTCGGGCGAGTTGGGCAAGTGAGTTCTTTCTGTTGTGGTTTAATTAATTGGTTTTAATAATTTTTTTATTTTATTAATTAAATACAAGTTTACCATTTTGTTATTTCTAGATCATTGCACAACTCCTTTCTGAGCAACTTATTCCTTTTGTTGCACTAGACGTGAGAAGGTAACTCAATACTAACTAAAAATATTGTTTTTCTTGTAACTATATCTTCTTACTTTACATCAATTGTAATTTTATCTTTTGGGTAAATGATTTTTGTACTATAAGTTGTTAAATAATTGTGCATAATTGGTAAATATTACTGTACATAATTGTTAAATAATATTCTGGGAGACAAGATATGCTGTTTGCTTGTGCAACTGATTCTGACTTTCTTGCAGGCATTAAAGGCTTTACTGAATCATAGCGTGCTTTTGCTATATTTAACCGTTGGATTCTTTGTGCATTTTCAATGCATAGAAACAGACAAATTCCCAAATTGGTTCCTTTCTTGTCAAATATTGCGGGGGTTTGTTGGTCAGTATAGGACAATTTCTGGATGCTAATCAAGATACTATCCTATAATTTTCTTGAAATATGTGTGAACTAACATGTATCATGTGTATGATTTTGAATAATAATACCACATGATTACCTAATCTGTCTTCATATTTTCCCAATATCTCCAGTGATAGAGTGGCAATGGGACGCTCACTGGATCTCCCTGTGTACTTTGGAGATGCTGGTAGTCGAGAGGTAAGTGTGTATACTTGAGTACTTAAGCTTACATGCATGTTCATTAGCTAACATGCTTTGTACTGTATGATAAGGTCCTACATAAGGTTGGGGCTGAAAGAGCAAGTGCCGCTGCAATAACTCTAGATTCCCCTGGAGCGAATTATAGAACAGTTTGGGCTCTTAGCAAGCACTTCCCAAACGTGAAAACTTTTGTTCGTGCTCATGATGTTGATCATGGATTGAATTTGGAAAAGGCTGGAGCTACCGCGGTATTATTCTATTACTTGTTCTATTATTAAAGTTATGATTGCCTAATGGTATAATTTTGGAATTCTTTTCTTAACTATTGCATATTTAGCCAAAATTGGCTATCATTGAAATACTCACTGCTGATCCTAGTTCTTATCGTCTATTTATGTCTCTTCCACTTGCTTTTGCAGGTTGTACCAGAGACCTTGGAACCAAGTCTTCAACTAGCAGCTGCCGTGCTTGCTCAGGTATCTATCATATTGTTGTTTGAGCATATGTTTACCCAATGACTGAACATTTTATGTCCTAATATATTATTAATACTCTTATCAGAAGAGGACAAACACTGTTATTGAGGTAATAGATCGTGTTTGTCTTCTAGTGCTTGATCTTTGTGTCACATAAGTTGAACTATTAATTATTTTGTCAACATTATATAACTGATTTACTTAGTTTTTATTCAATTTTTCTTAGAAATAGTAAGAGTGTATTTATACTCTTTCTGACAGGTAAAATTGGCCATACATTTCATTGAAGACTCTAGAGTCGACATGTTTTTACAATTGAAAAGTGGGGGAAAAATGAAAATAAGAGGACCAGATGTTTAATGTAGGCTCAATGAGATAGGAACATATAAAAGGTTCTTATCATACGATTTCTCTAATTGATGAAGCCTTTACTCACTAAGCATTATTCTCTTCAGGCTAAACTTCCTACATCAGAGATTGCAGCAACCATAAATGAATTCAGAATCCGTCATCTGGCTGAGCTCACTGAAGTACGTGCTTCTTATAAACTTTGATGTGACTAACTGTAATTGGAAATTGCATGATCAAGCACTACTCATTCACTCTAGTATATCATTGATGTCTTAACTTGTGATTTGTTTATTCAGCTATCTGAAACAAATGGAAATTCTTTTGGATATGGATACAATAAAATTACATCCAAACCCAAATCTCAATCCCCAGATTTACCAGATGATACTCAGATCTCTGAAGGAAAACTGGTGAATTGAATACAAAGTGCAATGCAAAAGAAACCAAGAAGTTTTGGAGAAATTGTAATTGTGAAAAATTGTATAGCAACAGAGTAGATGTCCCATCATTGTAAACAATGTACAGAAATATATCTGCATTCAAATTTTGATTATTCATTCTATAATTTTTGTACATTGATTTTGTTTGATTTACTTGCCATTCCAAAAACGTGTAAAAAATAACATTATATTTTCATACTAATTTTTCTCAAACCACTATCGTATAAAAGAAAACACATTTGTTCGGTGTAAAGAATGATTATTAACTTAACTATATTAATTTATGCTTTTGCAAATTCAAATTCAAGTTTAGCTTAATTTTTTATAAAAATAATTTTACAAAATTACAAATGTTTATAATCCCTGTACAACGACTTTCTTATTATATGTCTTAATTATTATTTTTTATCCTTTAGTATATAAATCTGGAAAAGAATTCGAATATAGACTCACTTTTGTTTAAAAGATATTTTTAAACATAACATATTTATTACTTTTTTTTTCATATATCAATTCTTATATTTAACACCTTAAAACATATCTAAGATAAAATTTATTTATACAATAAATATAATTTATTTATGATAATTTATCTTAATCATGAAAATGAATTATAAAAATAAAAAAAATCTCCTATATAATTATATTTTATTTTTAAGTGAATTTTTTTATTATATAAATTATAAATTATTATATTAATTTATTTTTGGTACTTTAAATTTGAAATGAATATAGTTCAGTTTTTTAAAATTAAAAAAATTATTTAATGATTGTTATGTAAAAATTGTTTTCATTTTTTAGTTTTAAAAATTAAAACTTAAAAAGTATACTTTCTATTTTTTTTCTTAATTAATAATATTTATTTGTTTTATCTAATGTAATTTTATCTTTATTAATATCATATTTTCTGTTTAAAATGATTTTTAAAAATAGTCATAATTTTTTAAATTTTATTTTCAAAAATATTTTAGTATCTCAAGTTAGAAAATAAAAATTAACCACTGAAATTAAAATACTGATGTGATCCCTCAATCGTGACGATAGACAAGAAGCGAAGCCTCCACGTTTATTTTTTATTTATTTTAGTGTATTATATGATAATTGTGTTATTTTTTTAGAAGATTTTTTTTTCTAAATTTATAAATATTATAATTTTATTATTTTTTATCAGTTTTTTTTAATCTTTTATTTGAGTGGTAAATTCTTATTCTGAATGTAACTGGAAGTATGGACTCATATTTATAACTGGAAGCCAGTTGGAGATTAATTGCAAAAGAAAAAAAAAGTGACATAGGAGACTTTTTTTCATAAATAATACTGTTTTCAAAAATATTTACAAAAATAGCACCTCTGCAACTTTATTTACACAACTAGCACAGTTCTCTGTTTACGTAATAAAATAATATTATTTTGCGCAACGGTTTACTCGTTCACTTGTATTAAAATAATATTATTTCGCGTACTGAAATCTCGCTCAAGCGAAGCAGATCTTCGCTTGAGCGAGGAAACCTGTAACAAAGGGGTCATCTGGGGTAAATTCTCGCTCAAGCGAAGGTTTTCTCGCTTGAGCGAAAAGTATGATCGACTATTATCCAATTATAGTCGATCACTTTGAGATATATGACTTTAGATAGCGGTTATTTGGCCAACCGCTATTTAAACTACTACATTAGAAAGCGGTTAAAGCCTAACCGCTATCTAATATATATTTTTAAAAGCGGTTATTATCAACCGCTATCTAAAGTGACTCAAGCGAAGAACACATCGCTTGAGCGAGGACAACAATCTTTTACAACAATCTTGAGCGAGGAAAAACACATCGCTTGAGCCGGTCTCCAACCAAATTCCAGTGGGTTCCACTAGAATAGATGTTTTACGAGACTCAACAATCTTACACCTAATCTAACACAAGAACCAACTTCCGAGTTCTTGCACTTAACCTCTCCACCAAGAACCAAATTCCAGTTCTTGGAAACCTCTGCAACCAAATTCCAGCGCAGAGAACCCAGGTACCCAAATTCCAGGCACCACACAGGTATAACCACAAGAACCAAATTCCAACTCCTGTGCTCAACCTCTTACCAAGAACCAATTTCCGAGTTCTTGATAACCTCCACAACCAACTTCCAGTTGCAGAGAAAACTTGTGCCCAAATTCCGAGCACAACACAATACAAAGTAATGAAAAAGAATTTACAAAGAAGTTTGTTTTTAAAGAGAATTTTCAAATCTGTCGCATTAATTAATCTGTTGAAAGTTTGTTTTAATCTGTTGAAATAGCCGTTATAATCTGTTAAAAGTCCTTTCAACCCATTAATGCGTTCTTGTTTCTTTAACAGAATGTTTTTAGTTGATACAACCATGTTTATATCAGTTAAAACATTTTACAAACATTTCTCGAGTGATTCAATCAATTGATTCGCGTTTTAATCGATTGATTTGCTTTAAAACTTTCTTATAAAACTTTTCAAGTTATTTTAAGCGATACAAAGAAGTTTTAATCGATTAAAAACCTGCACAGAATTTTTCTAAGTTGTTTTAATCGGTTGAAACGCGTTTTAATCGATTGAAACTCTGTACAAAGATTTTCCACGTTATTTTAATCGATTTAAATGCGTTTTAATCGATTGAAACTCTGTACAAAAATTTTCAAGTCATTTTAATCGATTGAAATTAGTTTTAATCGATTGAAATAGGTCTGATCGGTCATAATTCAACTCTGATCGGTCATAATTTCATTCTGATCGATCATCCTGACTTCCAAAGTGGTTTTAATCGATTAAAAGAAGTTTGTATCGATTAAAATACTCGAAAAATCAAGAGCTGAGAGACCTACACCGCTTGTAGCCCGGAACTTGAGTAAGAGCATGGGTTCGATAGATGACCAGGTCAAAACATCCAAATTTACTGATTAGACCCTCAAGTTTTTTACTAGTCGGTTTTTGAACGTCTTCAATCCGAACCAAAGTCCCGGTTGCCCAGATTGACGCCACCACCTCTCAAGAATCTTTCTATTTGGCGCGAAGTCTCAGCCGAGACAACGGCTTTTATTTTAATATCAAGCTGGTGTAGGGCAATTTACGCCCGCCAATACCACTAAAAAGTGACAACATTGTCAATCCACGAGGGAAGATGGGCTTTAACACGGAAAGGTGATACCCCGATGTGTGTGCGGAAGCAGTATTTCGGTGATCTAAGCCTTTCGGCCAAATTGTCCCCAGCAGCACGAGTGTGATTAATAGGGTAGCCTAAAATGAGTTCCAAGCTGTTCGAGCTCTACAGGACCCGGTTTGAATTTGCCAATCCACACAAGATTTAACCCACGACAATATCGAATAATGTCTTCCTGCAGTTTAGATGTAAGCACTCCACCCGCATCGGCTATAATCTTCCCAAGTCTATCACAAGTTTGAGCTACTCCACTGGTTTCACAATAAATGTCTGCTCAATTGCTTCCTTGAATCCCAAGGTGGCCACCATTTCTTTGTCCGCGGAATTACTTCTTCTATAGTCATAGGTGGCATTGGAAGGATGAGGACACCCATTTTTCCAGGTGTCCTCGCTCAAGCGATGTGTTTTTCGCTTGAGTCACCTTAGATAGCGGTTGATAACAACCGCTTTTAAAAATATATATTAGATAGCGGTTAGGCTTTAACCGCTTTCTAATACAGTAGTTTAGATAGCGGTTAGCCAAATAACCGCTATCTAAAGTCATATATGTCAAAGTGATCGACTATAATTGGATAATAGTCGATCATACTTTTCGCTCAAGCGAGAAAACCTTCGCTTGAGCGAGAATTTACCCCAGATTACCCCTTTGTTACAGGTTTCCTCGCTCAAGCGAAGATTTGCTTCGCTTGAGCGAGATTTCAGTACGCGAAATAATATTATTTTAATACAGTGAACAGTAAACAGTTGCGCGAAATAATATTATTTTATTATGTGAACAGTAAACGGTACTATAATTGTGTAAATAAAATTGCAGAGGTGCTATTTTGGTAAATATTTTTGAAAACAGTATTATTTATGAAAAAAAGTCGACATAGGAACCAAACTGTAATGTAATATTAAACAATGAAAAAAGTTATAAATTAATTCATCATATTAACTTATTAATATAACCTGGGCAATGCTAACAACAATTGCGTCAGATAAAATTTTCCATTAAGCACGTAATATTGTCCATTAAGCTATTAAAGGATATAGATGAAAGGAAACACATTAAGTTATATTTTTTTTTTAAAGGAAGAAATTAAATTTTTTTATAATTTTAACCCGACATTAAAAAAAAAAAAACGAGGTGACATAAATTATTAAACTTTATTTTTTATTTATTTTTAATTATAGTTAGAGTTGTTTCTTTGGGCTAAATTCTGTAAGTTACCCATTTTATCCACGAAATATATTCTAAGTACGTATAAAATAACAGCTATACATTTAAAAAACTCAATCTCACATTATCCATCGTTTAAGCTCTATATCATCTCTCTTTTTTTTTGCTTTTAAAGATTATAGAAAATGAATTTATGAAAAAGTTCACCAATGATCATAACAGTCTTTTTTTTTTTTTTCAGTTTTGAGTAAAATATATAATTTTGAACTATCTCTCAATTTTATTGAATTTAATATATAATCCCATTTTCGACTAAAAAGTTACAATTGTGAATCAGCAGCCCCATTTTGATACCCACACGCCTCTGTTTAGTCCCACTGAATCAAAACGGTGAGTCGTCCCAAACCCTATACGTCGTTCCGTGGTTGTGGTTCTCTCCGCCGCAACCTTTACGGCGGCTTTCCCGCCGTCGCCGCTGATTGGCACTGCTCCATTTTCTGATCAGGTCCTTATTCTTTCCATTTTTTCTACTTCGGGTTTTTAGGACTAACAGTTTAAAGTAGTTTTTGAAACAATACGTAGTTTTGAAAATTATGAAGGCAATTCGCAGAAATTGGTGAAGTGGATTTCTCTTTGTTGTGACCCTTTTGGGAACTACATGCTTTGTGATCCCATTGTGTTTTTTGTATATTACTAATATTATTACCAAATAGATTAAGTGTTTGAGTGTTGAGATTGAGGAGATTTCCGTCTGATTTGATGCCTGTTGTTGTGGCCTTTAATGTTACTGCGTTTGGAAGCTTGACAGATTTGGAGCTTTATAGCCCCAATTCGTTTGTACTTATTATGATGGGGAATTTTGGAGTCATACACTTCTCTTTGTTTGTTGCTTCCATCATGGATGGTCTGTTTCCGTGGGTTGTTTAATGCTGTAAATTTAGGTTGTGTATGGATGGGGGAATTGTTATGGGTAAGTTGCTGCAGGGCTTTTCTTGAGGCTTGTTCCAGGTCAGTTGTTTTAACCAAGATTGGCAGCTTACCCACTGGGATCCCCTATCCTTATGTTCTGATACAAGTTCTGGTATATAACAATATATGCATTTTCGTATCAATGGAAGAGGGATTGTATGTCCATGAGTATGTTGCAGAGCTTTTCATGGGGCTTGTTCCAGGTCAGTCTTAGGAATCAAGATTGGCATGCATATGTATAGTTTCTCTTTCAAACCTCATCGGTTAGATTGGATTTAAATCTTTCAAGCTATGAAGATTGGAATGCTAGTACCATGTTTTCCCTCCATGTATGTTTCGTTGATTAAATTCATATAATCCCTATATAACAACTTTTAATCTTTTTTTTTTTTATTTATTTAAATCATACAGTTTGCCTCCTTTAGTTGCTGTCCATCTCTTCCTCTTCCCCTCCTTCATACAGTTTCCTTTGTTACTCTAAACCGGTTCCCTACAAGAGTATCAAAACGTTGTTATGTCAGGACTCAGGAGAGTTCTTTCTGTCTAGTTCTTTCTGTCTACCCAAAAATGTAGAAGTCAAGTTTTAATATTGAATGATGAATTTACATATATGGTCCCCAAATATGCATTTGTAACTTCTTTGGTTCAATGTCACAACTTACAAGTACTCAAATGTACATTGGCTTCAAAGAAACCCTTTTATTGCTTTGGAAAGTGCACCAGCAGGGAACAACAGAACATGCTACTATTAGTTGTCAAATTAATCCCTCAATATATTTTCTGTTATTCTCGGAGATTTGTGATATGAGGTCTGATTTAACCTGAGGAATACCCATTCAAGAACCTTTAATCATAATTTCTATCATTCGGGAACTAATATGATCTACACTAACATCATTCAAGGACTAATTTGACCATTACTATTTTTATTTTGTAAAGAAAGAGATTTTGGCGCAAAACAAATTAACTCAAGCCTCTCCTATTGACCATTATTTTTAATAGATAAAACCAAATTGAAGTTCGAAAATTGCATTCCATTTCCTTTAGTGTATCTGTAAATGACCTCAAACGGGTTTGATTTTCTGTAGTTTAATGCTATGATTTGCATTTTGTGTCTGATCAGGAAGAATGAGGCCCACAATGATGCTCAAGGTTCTGAACAAGCAGTTTCTTGGAATTGTTGGTAATGCAGCTAATGCTGTCACTAAGAAGCCACCCTCACCTCCTCTAGTATCACGCAAACCGGCTTTCATTGATGCATTCTTATACAAGATGAAGAAGAACCCAAGTCTTTTGTCGAACAAGACCATTTGGTCACGAAGATCCACTATCTTGCCAGAGTTTGTTGATACCACTGTCAAGATTTACAATGGGAAAACCACTATCCGTTGTAAGATAACTGAGGGAAAAGTGGGTCATAAGTTTGGAGAGTTTGCTCTCACCAGGAAACGCAAGGCCAGAGAACAAGCCAATGCCAAAAATGTTAAACTACTTAAGAAAAAGAAGTGATTTTTTTTTCTTTTCTGTAGTTTTGGACCAAAATAATTTCATGGATAATTTCATTTTCTGGAATTATTTGCATCAATCTGGTTTTTTCTTAGGTTCTCTAGATTGCTTGTGAAGACCTAACTGTTTTCCCTGATAGAATATTGGTAACAAGTTTTTGAAATTTGACAGTGATTGCTGTTAAATTGGTGTTTTTGGGCCATTTGAACTTGTCATTTCATGTTATAATTTAACTGGTGGAATGTAGATACTGATTGATTAGTTTATTATGCTTATTCATTTGTGAGGAACTAAATTTTATAGTTTTTTTTTCTTTTCGTGGAATTGTGTTAAAATTATATTTGGTAAAGTTTTATTTTAAATTAACAGTTGAATTATGTAATATATATAAACTCTGGAATCAAGAAGCAAGTTAACGAATTTTAAAGTAAATGTAATTATTGTTCGATTCTTATCTTACAATAAAAATGTTTTATTGAGAATCAAATAATTTGAAAAAATTAACACTTTCAAATTGTTTTCACTTAAGATTTTAATGTACTATTATATTTTATTATTGTGATATGCTAAATTTTTTTCATTAAGAAATGGAAATATTAAATTATTATTGTATTAAGAGTATTATATTATACATACATATTAGTAAAATTTTAATATCATTTTTTTATATTAAAAAGTCCTATCACCTAGTCGAATCTTCCAAATATAAACTCTCGAATTTCACCACCTTTATTTTTATGTTCATTGAAGTTAGAAATAACAATAAAGATACGAGAAATGCTCTCTTTACAACCTATACATCCATTCTCCAATTAATTATATACTAAGATAATAATATCATTTATTATATTGATTTTTAATAATATTATTTAATATTATATATATATATATATATATATATATATATATATATATATATATATATATATATCTAAGCTTAAATCAACATCTAAGTATGATTTAACTATAATTTTACCGTGGTTAAATCGATTTTAATAAATACTAAAAATAAAATAATATACAAAATATAATTAAATAAATTATATTATCATAATTTTATAAAACACGGCAATGTCCGTTAGTAATAACAAATTTACATGAAAACAAAATAACAAATTAACATAATAAATATAAATTGATATAGTTAATTATATTATATGTTTTATAACAAAAATAGTAATAATTGATAAAACAACTAATCTATTGCTAAATGTCTTTTTGTTTATTCTATAAAAAATATATTAAATTTTAAAAGTTAACTTTTTTTAAATTACCAATTCAAACCATTTCTATACATTGCTTTTTACCTATTATTGATTTGTTTCACCAGTTTTCGTAATTCTAAAACCAATTAGACTTACGCACACAACTAACTAAGAATATTATGCAAAATATGCCATAAAACACAATGCATCATATAATGAAGTCCCATATTTATTTTGAGAAAAACCACGTAATAAAATAATAATTGACTTGATTATTGTAGGGTGAGATTTAACACTACTTGATTATAAAAAAATTAATCCAATTTTTTGTAGTTCAAAAAGTTGTAAATAAAAACAAAAAAGTACGCCATATATGCTAAATATTTGGCTCACCACGTAGGAAACATTAGCACTTTTGAAGTTTGAAACTCGCGAGGAGACGGGAAATACAAAGAAAACAAATGCAAGAAATGTGATGAGCAGTTTATAAAGAACAGAATGGATTGAAAAACTATAAAGCATTTAAAAGGAAGAGTTAAAAAAAGATGTTAATCATGTGTATAATAATGACATGTGGGTGTGGCTGAGGGGAAGGCTGAATTGGTTGAAGAAACAGTATAATAGGTCAGAAAAAACTGCAAGACATTTTCGGCCTGTTTAGGCTTGAGGATATTTTCAGATGATGTCCAACAATCACAAGCATTCTCTGCATCCACTTTTCATACTTTTAAAGTAATACAAATTACCCACCTATTTCATCTTTGTATTATTTCAATTAAATGCCTTTTTCACAGACTATAATTCTTGGGAACTTAGTAAATGATGAAGACAGCTAAATTAACTTAACATGAAAACTAATTAAATTCTGTATGACTCAGTCCATAGAACCACTGACCATTACTTAACAATCCATAGTGAAATCTTATATCTTTCCTAACCAAAATGTCCTGATCTAAAATAAATATGTTGATAAAAAATTGGATATAGAATCGTTTTCCAACCGTGAAATTACATATTTTCAATCCACCAGTGTATGGCAAAATAATGAAAATAAAAATTCAATGGAAAATCAAGTAATTTTGATGTAGGTGTCACGAATTTCACCTCATCAGCACGGAAAAAAATTGATCCTTGGTCACACCAACTATCCATTTGAAAGATCTATCCGTGCTCCAAATTGATCTATTGCTGTCCGGCTTTGTTGTTTTGTACTCCTAAGAATGGAAACCTGGATCATAACGTAGTAGAAAAACATTACTTTTCAAAAGATTTGCTGAGAACCATCAGTTTGGAGGTGAAAATCAAACCAAACAATATATGGTAATCTTGCTAAATTACAAATATCGTTAATTAACCTAAAACATTCTGCAGGCAAAATTTTCTGAGATATTTGGACCATAGTCTGATGATTTCATAATGAGCATAATTTTAACATCATGAGATGATTTCATAAAATGAACATAATCAGAAAAAATTATAATATGAAATCTTAATATGATGATAAATTACTAGTCGTAACTGTGCTGCTACCTTGGGACGCTCCATAGAGCTTCCAAAATATCCTACTCCAAAAGACAAGGAAGTGTATGCAGCGGCAAACTCTACAGCCTTCAGCCTTGATGATTTTCCTTGATCCTAAGGAAAGTCAAAGATTAATAATCTTCACAAAACTACTAGTAGGAAAAGCTGAAGGGACTTACTGTTAAAGATGCATCTGACTGCACAACCAAGATCCCTGCACTGCTATCAGTACCATATTGCCTGCCATCCTCAACAACAGAGCGTAAAATTTTTGTGCAAGCAGAAGCAGCACCAGACTGTGAGCTGAAGGAAAGTCAACATCAGAAATATCCACCGCATGGAACATTGATATAGCACACATAAATGAAATTATGCAACAATGCATCGATATCAGAAGTTGCAGTTTCTGAAGCCAATAAACTATGCTGGATATTAAAGAGATCATATTTTCAGTATTCACAAAAGAGAAAAACAGAAACTGGACAATCCTAGCCTACAATTCTGCACAGCAAGTAAATTTGAGATCAAATAATGGTGTTTTCTTTAATTAATTTCTCAAGTGAAATTTAAAAATAGTTTAACATGATCTTTATTTAACATGTGTCCAACACAACATCCAGTGACCTGTGTTGTATAACATAAAATGTGTCTAATATGTAATTTTCAACGAAAAACATCCTTTCAGTGCATACCCTCAGCCTTAAACATAGAATCACAGGTGTAGATGTTTAGACATTGAATATACCCCCATTATTTCTTAGGTGGAATGACCTTCTTAAACACCAGCTCATTTTAATGGTAAAAGAAAAGGTCCCAAATGTGATATGTGATTATATTCCACTCCATGCAATCAAATGGAGAAACAGGACAAATTAACCACACAGACGAATCTTACATAAAAATTCTCCCCTATCATGAAAATACAAACAGATGTCTGAGAGCCAACCATACAGTGACAATGAAACACAGCATTCCCTAGCAGCAAATCCTTTCATTAGGTGCTCTCCTGCCCCAGATACGCAACAACCAGCCATGAATGGAGCCCCAAAGGGCCCTTTTGATGATGCCCAACACCCTGAACCATACATTGCTGCCAACCCAACACGTCCACTAACCTGTTGGATATTTTGTATGTAATTATGAGTGTAATCACTTACTACTATAACATGGAAATGCTCAGCACCAGAAGAAAAGCAAACCAAGAAAACCATTTTAACCTTTAGAGCAATACCACCACTGGAGGCTCCAGATGCAACATGCCCCTCACTATCTATACAAATAACCCCAACAGTGTCCATTACGCTATCTTCCAAAGCACTATCTGCATATGAAAGAGCTCATGACTTTGGCAGGAGTATCACACTTGTAATGATAGAAGGCTTGGAGAAAAGATCCAGGGGAGATAATTTTTCCCAAACTCCTGTACTCTGCATTGCAATATATTTTCCAATAGCAAATTGATACTTGATTTAGAACACAACCACTTAAATCCCTTAGCAATTTAAGATTCTCTATAAAGCGAAGGTTTTATTTTGGCTTTTAGAAAAATAATGTATGATTGGTGCAAAAGCGTAGCTTCATATCCTAACATTAAGTCATGAGGTTTCAAGAGTTTGAAGACTAACAACATCTTTTCTCCCAGTATAATTGCTTTTATAGTAGTAGGCCTATGCTAATTTTCATGGGAATGGATCTGTCCAAAAACTGTTATTGATTTCAACGTTTTAGAAGCATAAAGTAGTGAGGTCTTGTGGAAGTGTGCTATTAAAATACCTGCTATCGTGGTACTTTGAGAAACAGAAGAATTGCCCTCAGGAGTGTTGTTTGTCTTAGATCTAGCAGTTTCAATCATGGATTTGTATTTTATCCATTGTGCTTTAGCCCTTTCTGTGACCAACCACTGTCAAACAAAGTAACAAGGTTATGATTTCAAAGTGGAATGGCATGATTCAATTACGTTCCACTACAGAATTTAAATTATAGGTGAAAGTATGACCTCATTGGCCTCCTCGATACTTGTTGGCAAAGCAATGTCTTTAGCCTTGGCCCATTTGCGAGCCCCTTCGCCAACCAAAAAGCTGCATTAAGACAAATTCCCATAAGTCCTGCAATAGATATTAACGGTGGATTTGTTCGCAAGGTCAAAAAGGAAGGATTTTTCAAATACTATTTATGGCAGTGAGACACATGAACTTATGTAAATGCTTTGGTAACAAATGCAGAGATGCTGAGTAGTGATTACATTGGAGGAATTCGACCCAACAACGGAGATCCCATCATTTGCTCTTTGGCCAATAAAGCGGCAATTTGTATAGCATTTCGGACACCTGGTCTATAGTAAATGGAATAAATACATAGAAAAATTCGTATAACATAATAAAATTCCAAAATCTTGAGCAAGCCAAAAAGTAAAGCCAAAACAACATTGCATGAACAAGGCGGTAGATTACTAGCAACATAAAAATGTAGAATCTGCCCAGTTGGTCATGAAGACTAATGAAAATGCATTAGTTAGCACAGTGTGAAGTCATGCATGTTTGGTTGGAATAAGTTCTGGAGAAACAGTTATTACATTTATTACTTTGCAAAACTCTTCCAGGAACTGTAAAAGAAATGAGAGAAATGCTAATCACACTCTCCCTCCAACACACATTTTCCAACACACTCTTATTGAGGGAATGCTTTGCACATAATTTAGTGAAATCTCCATAATTTGTATCTAAAATAAAGATTGTGTTGGAAATTAAAACAATAACAAGAGTGTCAGCTAGAATTTCTCAAAAAAATGTTTCTCTAAAATAAATTAAACCAAATATTCATTGCCATGGAAAATGAATATTTTCGCATTCCACCTACTAAACTAGTTGAGCACTTAGGTTATGCTTGGAAAAGCTTTCTTACAACTTATTCGGACTTATCTTATTACATGAGCATTTGTGTGGGTACTTGGAAAAGCTTATAAAAATAGCTTAAGATAGGTCTATAAGCTGCTGATAGCTTATGAAGACAATTTACAGCTTACAACAAAACAGTTCAACTCTTCTGCCTCTTCTATTGTAAAAAGTTAAAAACAACTTTTACGCAATAAACATTTCTAAGGCTTTGGAGAGATTCTCAACTTGAAAAGAAAAACTAGACCTGTTAGGACAAACTTATCTATAAGAACTTCTAGAATAGAAAAATAAGAAGAAAAAATGAAATGAATTTATTCATAAGTTAAAATTAACTAGTGGACATGTTAAAAAAAATAAAAATAAAGAAACTATATGAGAAAGTATACACAATTTAGCTTAGCATAAGCAAATTTTAACTTATGAAGATGCTCATTTCATTTTTTTCTTCGTATTTTTCTCTCCTAGAAGTCCTTATGGAGGAGTTTGCCCAAACAGGAATTCCAATAGAGAAGCAGTAAAAAGCACTTGTTGCTTCTACCAAATATACCCTAAATTGTTTATCCAAAAGATCTAATTCCATACCCTCTTCGTGACCTTGACGGCATGGTTTTCTTATTCACCCCTCAGATTAGTCAAAAGCTAATTCCGTAAGCTCTAACAAACACCTCGCTGCCATTAATTATTAGTTATTCAAGCTTAAGTAATAGAATTGGAGCAATTCTGATTTTTCCACAGAGCAAAGTTTGAATTCAATTATTGTATGTAACTATAATCATGTGCATGAAATCAACAATTCAAATTGTAATAAAGAAAGCATGTACCTGGCACTGCCCCAACAGCCCCAAAAGCTCCAATTTTGCCGTCCATAACACTCGCGTCGCATTCCACGCTACCGTCCTCAGTCAAATTGGAGCCTCTGCCAGCGTTTGTGCAGGGATCATCCTCCAACACTTGAATGGCGGCTACGACGGCGTCTAGGCGCGTTCCCGAACCCTAGAAACACAAAAAGTGATAAAAGAGCGAAATTGAAAATGAAGAAAAAAAAGGTTAGGTTGGGTTACGTTGGAGAGAACGGAAGCGGCGGCGAGACAAGCGCGGTTCATGGCAGTCCTGAGAGCTCTGTCGTTCGTCGGTGAGTGGTAACCGGCGCCGACGTGAACCGCCACAAAAAATCTCTTTCCCTCCATTTCACCACCCTGTTTCTGTTCAACCTCCAGTATCTGCTTTATTTTCCCACTTTTTTCTTTCTTTTAAGCTTAAACCCTATGTTAGAAGAAAAAATCATTTAAAGTTTAAAATTCGAAATAATGACAAAAAAACCCTATGTTAGAAGAAAAAACTATTTAAAGTTTAAAATTCGAAATAATGACAAAAAAAACTATTTTTTATTTATTTAAAGAAGTTAGTCTTATATTCGTCTGTAATTAAAATTAAAGAAAAATAATATATTATCTTTTCTCATATGTGGTATATATATATATATATATATATATATTCTCAATTATTTAACATTAATTAAAAATTAGAAAAACTAGAGTATAACTTAATAAATAACTAGAATTCAATCAATAGGAAAAAAATTAGTAGAAAGCGTGTTCAAAAGAGTATATTAAAAAAAATGTTATTTGAACATTTTTTATTATCATTTAATTTTATCTAGGACTAAATGTACATTTTACTACCTAATTATTATTATTATTTAACGAATTTCACCATTTAATTTTTCGCACATTTTACTAATATTCTTTCATTTTTATTGTATTTCACTTATTTGTTTAATTTCTAATAGAACTACAACAATATACTAAACACAATCTCATTTTGCTAATAAATTTTATAAAAATCACATCGTATGGAAAAAAAAAGAAAAAAGTATATGATATTTGAATGATAAAATATATACTTAATTGTATGAGCATTACAATTTCTCACACCTTTTGCTGCTGTTAGAAACTTTGAAGCAAGATTTTAATTTACTATTGTCAATAATTTGAGAGTTCGATATTATATATGGTTGAAAATTATATTACAATGATATATTCATTTTAATTTTTTATATGTATTTTTTAAATCATTGTTTCCAATACATTCCCTTCATCATCTATGCTATTCCTCTGCATAAATGAAACACATTTGATAGATGCAAGGCAATGCTCCAACATAGAATTTCTGTAAAAAACACTCCATACACAACCACATAGAAGTTTCATATATGATTGCATTAACCAAGGTTTAAATTTCTAGCAACATCCCTTTATCAAAATGATTTTTGTTCAGTTCGATGGAAAAAGAGGCCAGAAACACTACTATCATCTGGTAACAGGGCCAACTTGACAGCAGCTTCAGCACCTTCATCAGGTGTTCGAGAACCAGTATTTTTGGTAATATCAGTTCTGATATAATCAGGACAAACAGCATTGATGCAGAATGAGGGGTACTTCTTGGCCAGAATCCTTGTGTAGGCATTCAGAGCAGCTTTTGAGACACTATATGCAGGCACAGCAAGAGGCCAGCCTTTGGTTTCTAGGGTACCCTCTTTAAAGTCCTTTAGAAATTCATTCAAAATGTCATCAATCTTCTCTTCTGTAAGCTTTTCAACATCACTCAGTACTTCTTTAGGCCATCCATTCGGTATGTTCTGCATACAAGAAAAACCATCAAAGCCTCTTTGACAATAGTAGAGTGTAGTTATCTCTTAAAATCTTCTCCTGATAGTAAACATTATATCTGTCTGTAAACAGAGGATTTGATTTTTTTCCTGTGACATACACTTTGAAAAGATTGTAACTTTTTTTGACAGATGAGGAATGTGAATGCACATTATTCTCCAACTGCTTCCTTTCATGACAGAGGACATAGATAAGACATGGAAAAACAGGTTTAAAATTTTCAAATTTAAATTGAGTAAACCAAGTGGGTAGGAAAATATATGAATACCTGAAGCCTTCCTGTGGATGAGGAAACATTGACAATTTTTGGAGAGGGTGAAAGGTGGAGAAGGGGAATAAGTGCTTTGGTCAATTCCTTGGTTCCATAATAGTTTGTTTTAAGAGCTGCTTCAGATAGTTCATAGCTTTCAGTTGATACTTTACTCCAATCAACATTGCCACCATTTTCCTGCAACCAAAATTATCAAAATTTATTCTTTTCAATGAATTGATAGGGCAAGCTTTAAGTGCAAGGTATGTGTATGACACAATTGTTCTTATGCTTATCTTTCTATATCTTATTATTTACATCTCCTTTAATTTTAATATATTGTTAGACAAATTATAATTCAATAACCCGCATATATTTTTTATTTTAAAAAATATAAATATATTGAATCAGATAATATTTAAGTTATATTTAATTTTATTTAAATAGAAATTCTTTTGAAAAATTATTTTCTTTTTTCTTTTATTTCTTTTTATTTGATTTTGTTTTATCAAACTAAGTTTAATTAAAATTAGGTGATCAAAAGGGTTAAAAATCATACAACAGAAAATGCAGCAGCCAAAGCCTCACCATCCCAATGTGCTCCAGGAATTCCAGCATCGTTTACCTAAATCAAGTTGCAGCTTTCATCATTCAAGATGAATAAAAAACCACAACATTTGTTTCATCCAATTCACTCTCACAAACGTTGATAACACGAAAATACAAAGCAAAGAGAATTTGCTTACCAATATATCTAGTTTTCCATATTGGTTGCTAATAAAGTATGCAAGTGATGTAATACTTTCAGAATCTGTAATATGAATTGATGAAAAAGGACATGGCCAGAAAGACCAAGCTACCTCTTTGTTGCTTCTGCCATTTCTCCTCAAACACTGAAAATATTTGACTAAAACATGCTCTTAAATAATGAATGGGTTCAACTTTTATGTCTACATCTCTTATTTTCTTTATTCAAGTGTTCCAGTTGGAGTTGATGCCATGTTCAAATATACTATGTTATCTGGGGCTGCTCCACTCTACTATATTTGAACAATTCTATTTGAATACGAATGCTTCAAACCTATGACGTTTGTATGAAGTGGTCTTGTTTTTATTGAGTAACGTTTTGTATACATAATGAATATTTAGTTTTATATTTTGTCTTTCATTTTTTTTATATATATTTCTTAATTTTAACGATTTCAATTTTATTTAATTAAAAAAAAAACAGCTATCTCAAATCACTATGTAAAGTTGATTTTTTTATCTGTTTATATATCTAAAATTATCCTTTTTATTTTTAATTTTTAAAAATTAATTAGTTATTGATGTTAAATGACATAAAAAACATAAATTTCATTATCTTTATGTTTTAATTTATTTTATACAATTTATTATCTTAAAAATGGGACAATATTTTAATTTTTATTTCTATTTTTAAATATTTGGCTAAATAAAATGAGACATTACAAAATGATATATATTATATTTAAAAGATTTTACATTTTATAATAATTTGTATGAGCGTAAAAGGTTTCTACAAATATTAAGAAAGGCAAAATCAAACCATTAATAATAAGCAAATAATTATTTCGATAATGTTTTATTTATTATAGTTTATAATAAGGATATATTTCATATATTAAAGTTTCATTATTCCTTCAACAGTACTTTTATTTAAATTTCAAATTTATTAATTGACTAGATGTTTTTTATATTTTTAGAAAATTAATGAAATATACAAAAATTACCATGATGGCATGAATTGAAATACTAGTAATATGTAAACTCGTGGAAATTTAATATTGGAAGGAAAGGAAAATTGATTTCTAAATATATACAAAATTTATAAATTGATGTATAAATTTTATAACTTAATTAATGTTAACTTAATATTTAAAAATATAATTAAATATAAAAATAATTTTTAAATATTACAATTTAAGAACAAAATGATGTCACGATACATTAAAAAGCTAAATACAATTGATTTTCATTTATTTTAAAACTAAATTAAACCAATTTACACATTTACGTATTAGAATGAGCATTTACTAAAATGAATCCTACTATGTATGAGAGTTTGTTCTCCTCTTTGTGATCATGACAGATCTTTCTTCAAAGAAAAATGGAAAGTGGAGGGAAAAAAAAACCTTGATCAGGTGTATTGTAAAAAAAAAAAAAAAACTTGAGTATTTCAAAAATGGTAAGTGGAGTTAGATTTTGAGTATGACATAGTGAGATATATGCATTGGGTTGATAGTGTTGATACTAATGATGAAGAAAACTTCAACATTACTCATTATTTGATAGAAAGTAAAACTAGGTTAAACATGATAAACAGAATTTCTGTCTGGGCATGATTAGTTATTTATATAGCAAAAACTAAATTAAAACTGGACTATCAAGAGCTAATGGGAAGGTTTCAAGGTTTTGAAAGTCTAGTAACAAACATGGCCTCATGCATATTATTCATTATTTTTTGTTCTTTAACAACAATGCATGATCAAAATGGTTTCTCTTCACTTCTAAAGAAAAAGAGGCCAGAAGGACTACCATCAGGTAGCAGTGCCAATCTCACTGCAGCTTCAGCACCTTCATCTGGTGTGAGAAAACCTGTATTGTAGTTTATATCTGTTTTCACATAGCCTGGACAAACAGCATTGATGCAGAATGAGGGAAACCTCTTGGCCAGAATCCTTGTGTAGGCATTCAGAGCAGCTTTTGAGACACTATATGCAGGCATGGCAAGAGACCAGCCTTTGGTTTCTAGGCTACCCTCTTTAAAGTCCTTCAGAAATTCATTCAAAATGTCATCAATCTTCTCTTCTGTAAGGTTTTCAACATCACTGAGTACTTCTTTAGGCCATCCATTTGGTATATGCTACAAAAAATGTTACTTGAGAATAAACATCATCTTCAACAGCACTAATAGACAATAAATCAATTAATTGAATCAAATAACTACATATCTGATTGCAAATACAATCAGAACAAATAACATTGATATTTTCAAAAGCTAAGATCCAATTTGGTAGCCCAATTGAGTGGCAAAAGTTAATTAGTTGCTGGTATCAGTGTATCTCAGTCACGTACCTCAAGCCTTCCCATTGATGAGGAAACATTGACAATTTTTGGGGAGCTTGAAAACTGGAGAAGGGGAATCAGTGCTTTGGTTAATTCCTTGGCTCCATGGTAGTTTGTTTTAAGACCTGCTTCTGTTAATTCATATGTTTCAGTTACTATTTTACTCCAATCAACACGACCAGCATTTTCCTGCACCAAACAACTCAACAATAAACGATTTCTTTATGAGTTGATAAGGGAAACATCTATAATGCAAGGCATGATGTGAAATTTTAAATTCTTGATTCAAGTTACGTACATTTTATCAATCTATTTCTTTATAGACGGGAAAAATAATTCACAAAAGTTTGCATGATTGCACCGGTAAACGCAGCATTTGGTATCTGTACAAAACCTGTTTGATGCAAAGAAAGGAAAAGCACCAGAACTGAATTCTCATCAATATATGCACATTCTCTTGTCGTAGTGCGTTGATTCAACTTTCTTTATTTGGAATTGGTTACAATTGTCAACACTAGCACTAACTAAAACACTCATTCCATTTCCAATACTAGAAATTATGCTCGGAAAACATATAAATTGGGGAATTAAAATCATACCACAATGGCAGCAGAAGCCAAAGCCTCAGCATCCACATGTGCCCCAGGAATTCCAGCATTGTTTACCTACAAAATTTCCATGTTTCGAATATTTTGGCTCATTTAGTATCGCTAGCTACTTGCAGAAGGTTAACTACGACCAATTTATGTTGTTTAAGATTACAACCAACGAAAGCAAGAAGAATTTCCTTACCAAGATATCCAATTTTCCATATTGATTCCTGATGAAATCTGCAAGTGATGTGATACTTCTAGGATCTGTGACATCAAGTTGATGAAAAACCACATGGCCAGGGTGACCAAGCTCTTTGAGTTTCTCAACAGCTTCAACACCCCTCTTCTCATCTCTTGCTGTGAGCACAACAGTGACCCCATTTGACGCCAATTGCTTGCATACTGCAAATCCAATTCCCTTATTTGCTCCCGTCACAACAGCATACCTAGATAACAGTTTCACAAGTTAAGCTAGCATTGATATGATGAATGACTGAAGTTATGTTCATATGAAAATTGTCTTTAAATTCAGAGTAGTTGAAGAAAATGGGGCTAAAAGAATGTTACCCTTTTGTTGCTTCTGCCATTACTCTTGAATGAGGGAAGTAGCAGATGAAAAAATAGTGGTCAACAAACTACCAATAAATGGTTTTGGGTTTTTAGTCTATTTCACTTGTCTTTATTCGATAATTCATATTCCAAATGATTTTGAAACAACTGTTACTGGCCAAATGGTTTTGAACTTTGCATTCTACGAAAAATGAACGATATCATCAATGTGATTAAGTGTTTTGACCCACATATACTCTATATTGACGCAACGGCAGATTCCGTAGCAAATTGTATTTAGAGAAAAACACATGGTATGAAAATAAGTTCTTGTGTTTCAAAGATATTATTTAAGAAAAACATTATTATTATTATTATTTTATAGTTTCACGAAGTTATAATTTTGCTCTCTATAAAATATTAATTACATATTTTCTTCTCAAGCTTTCTAATATATCATTCAATTTTAATAGAAAATGTTAATATTTTTTTTATTAGAATAATATGTATTAAGTTAATTTTTATATTTATTATTAATATTTTATGTAATATGAGTAATTAATATTGTACCTACCCATATTAAATGATTAAAGTACAATATTAAACTCAATCTAAAAACACTTATATTAAATTATTAGGGTTTTATTTAATTAATGTATCAGCTTATTCTAAATAATATAACTTTTCTTTCTTTCTAATTATTTTGTATATTTTTTGAGAATCTAATTCTCGAATAGTTAAGAAGTTTTGAAGTAAAATATTTAAACATATTTTTGTAAATAAAACGAGACACTAAAAACTTTTTTATATTATATTTTAAAGATTCTATATTATAAATAAATTGTATAAGTGTTAAAGGTTTCTAAAAATAAGAAATGTAAAATCAAACCATTAATTACATATTTGTATGTATTTGTATGTATTTTATTTTACCTATATTTGTATGTATTTTATTTTACAATAATGAAATGTTATACAAATTAAAATGTTTCATTATTCATTCAATACATTTATTTAAATTCCAAATATATTATTTTTACTATATTTTTATATTTTGAAAATATTAATGAATAATATACCAAATTTATTAACAGATTAATACATGGACCAAGAGATTAAATTGGAATTTAAATATATGTAAATTCGTGGAAGTTTAACATTTGAATGAAATGAAAATTTATTTAGTTTCTAAATATATATATAAGAGCTATAAATTGATTTCTAAATTTTATAACTTAACGTAAACTTAAAAAATTAATTAAATATTACAACTTAATAACAAAATGATCTCACAACCCATATTAAAAAACTAAATACAATTAATTTTTATTTTCTTTAAAACTAAATTAAATCAATTTATTCGTTTACGTATTAAAATCACCATGTATTTAATCCGTGACAAAATTTGTCTCAAAATGGGCCGAGGGAGAAGTGAATTGCTCCAGCAAAAGCCAATTTTGCATCAGTCACAAGACAAATATATTTTCTGATGCTTATTTTTACATAGAATTTTAATATTTTATGAAAACGTACGGTGTTTGAATAAAATATTTAAAACAAAAATTAAATTTAAATTTTTTATAAAAATAATTAAATTTTTTTAAATTATAAAATTTAAATTTAATCCCTAAAATATATAATAATTATATACTTATTTTAATATTTTATGAAAACTTACGGTGTTTGAATAAAATATTTTAAAATAAATTTAAATTTAAATTTTTTATAAAAATAAATAATTTTTTTAAATTATAAAATTTAAATTTAATCCCTAAAATATATAATAATTATATACTTATTTAAAATTAAATTAGTGTGTTTAATGTATTATTTGTTTTAAAACTTGTGTGTGTGTGTGTGGGAACAACAATTTTTATCTATTTAATTATTTGTTTCTACCAGTGGGTTTAATTAATTATTTATCTATGCTATTTACTCTACCTAAAGCTTTTATACATTTATGTTATTCTTTTCCACGTTTTTTATTTTAATTATGAATACTATTATTTATAATTACACTATTTTTAAAAAATTATACTAATTTAGTTAGAAGTTTAATATAAAATTATAAATTTATTTTCATTTTACATTATTTATTCTTTATAAATTTAATTATTTTGATTGTAACTATTAAATTGTTTTAATTTTTTAATTAGCTAAATAATTTGAAAGTATTTATTAAATTAAAAATAAAATATTATTATTTATTTTAATTTATTATTTTTTCATTTGTTAATTAATTTTTCCTTTTATCTATATTTTTGTTAATTAATTTATTTATTATTATTATTATTATTATTATTATTATAGTGAATTTTATTCAAAATGTAAGCATAAGTACTAAATTCTTCTAACTCAAAATTTTCATGTAATTCTAAAAGATGTTCAACAAGATGATAATACACTTTATGGACCAATGTTAGTTTAATAGAAAAAAAAATAAAAGGTGAAAATAAGAGATAATTTTGTAATTTTTGTCAAAAATAAACTTTTAAAAGTTCATAGAATAAAATCTCATTTATTGAAAATTTATGAAAATAAAATTGGTGCATGTTTAACTATCAATGATGAATATTTAATTGAATTGAAATCAGTTCAATGTTCTAAGAACAATACTCTTGCAACAACAAAAAACACATGTTGAGAGGTTACTCCACTAGTACAGACTTCACTTTTAAAGTCTTTTTATCAAAGTAAGAGAATTGTTACTTGATAGGATTCGAACTCGATACCTTAAAATTGAAGACCGATACTCCAACCACTAAACTACTATAATTTTACGATAATAACTTATAAATAAATTATATTTATATACAAATAAAAATGTATATCCATGTAAATATAAAAATATAAAATATATAAATACAAATACAAACTATATTTATATGTTGGATGTGAGAACGCGCTCGAGGGTGAAAGTGTGTGTCAAGTGAGTTTTCAAAATTTGATGCCGAATTTGTGAGCGAGTCTCTTTATATGAATTTGTAATTTAATGATAGAATATAATCTTTATAATTAATTTTTATAATAATATAAAATAAAGAAAAAAATTATTTTATATCATTATATAAATAAATTATAAAGATTATATTTTGTCACTAAATTATAAATTCATATAAAGAGATCCGCTCACAAATTTGACATCAAATTTTGAAAATTCATTCAACACACACTTTCACCCTCGAGCTCGCCCTCATATCCAACATATAAATATATAAATATATTTGTATTTGTATTTATATATTTTATATTTATATATTTACATGAATATACATTTTTATTTGTATATAAATATAATTTATGTATAAGTTATTATCAAAAAATCCTAGTATGGGTTCGAATCCTGCCAATGACAATAATTCTCTTAATCTGATAATAATTCAAATTCCTAAAAAATATAATATAAAAGGGAGAGGAGACCTTTAGATAAATAGGGTTAATTAGAGAGGGGTTATGAATAAATAAAATAAATAAATCAACTTAATAAAAAAGGAATTAGTATAGTCTCTTGTTGATGAATATATTTTGAAACTAGTAAAAGGCTATTTTCTACTAGTGCTCAAATCAACTTAATAAAAAAGGAATTAATATAGTCTCTTATTGATGAATATATTTTGAAAGAAAACCTCTAATTAATTTTATGACCACTAATAAGAGGGTTCCTATTTCTAAAAGTTAGTGATACTTCTGATGAAATAAAAAAACATAGCATTATATAGATGATAGAGTGGTTGAAATTATTAAAGAAGCCGGGGAAGCAAATGTTGTACAAATTATAATAAATAATACTCGTGTGTGTAAAAGTGATACTAAAATGATTATTGAAGTTTTTATTTCCTAAAGTTTTGAACACCTTCTCTTATTCATATTGAATCTTGTTTTGAAAAATTATGTGCAACAAAAAATAAATGATATCGTTTATAGCGAATGTAGTTGTATTATTGAAATTGTTAATGATGTTTCTTTCATTAGGAACTTTATCATAAACCACCTTATAAGATTGACAATTTTTTGTTATTTCTCATATTTGAAATTGTTTGTTATTGTGAATGAGTTTTGCATCTCATTTAGTAACGATGAGAACATTTAAATTTTGAAAGAAAACCTCTAATTAATTTTATGACCACTAATAAGAGGGTTCCTATTTCTAAAAGTTGGTGATACTTCTGATGAAATAAAAAAACATAACATTATATAGATGATAGAGTGATTGAAATTATTAAAGAGGTAGGGGAAGCAAATGTTGTACAAATTATAATAAATAATACTCGTGTGTGTAAAAATGATACTAAAATGATTCTTGAAGTTTTTATTTCCTAAAGTTTTGAACACCTTCTCTTATTCATATTGAATCTTGTTTTGAAAAATTATGTGCATCAGAAATTAAATGATATCGTTTATAACGAATATAGTTGAATTATTGAAATTGTTAATGATGTTTCTTTCATTAGGAACTTTATCATAAACCACTTTATAAAATTGACAATTTTTAGTTATTTCTCATATTTGAAATTATTTGTTATTGTGAATATAAGTTTTACATCTCATTTAGTAACGATGAGAAAATTTAAATTTTGAAACGCATCTCATTTAGTAATGATGAGATTAAAATTTTTTAAATATTTTTTTCAATGATTATTTGTGAAGAATAAAATTTTTTTAGAAAGATGATGTGGACAAGGATCAAGAAAAGCTTTGTTTTAAATATATATGATGAGACAAAATTGCATATATTTTAATTTTTATTAAAACTATGTATATAACATGCTTAGGGTTTCTAAAATAGATAGTCCTATACTTTATTTAGTTTACGAGACGTGAGATATTATAATAGAAAATAATAAAGACAATCATATATATAAGTAAAAATAAAAAGAGAAAAATAATGCATCAACATTTTATGATATTGTTTAAGATATATTAGATAGGTGGACTAAAAGTTTAATTTCTCTTCATTATATAATTTACTTTTTAAATCTCACGTAAAATTATCTCATCAATACTAATTTTTTTATAATTTAAATATAAAAATATTTAAAAAATTATTCTTTTTTATAGTATAATTTTTAATTATATATATCTCATGGAAAAATAAATTTAACAAATTTCAAATAGAATCTCACTCAATAAAATTTTTAAGGGAGAACAATAAATGTTTGAAATTTTTTTTTGCAAGAGGATAAAAAGTAAAACTAGTTTAAACATGATACAAATTACAACTAGAGTGAGCACACATACTTCATCCATTAATTTCAACATTACTCATTTACTTGATAGAAATTAAAACTAGTTTAAACATGATAAACAACGTTACTAACTGGACATGATTAGCTATTTGTATTGCAAAAACTAATAGAAAACATGACTATCAAGAGCTAATGTGAAGGTTTCAAGTTTTGAAAGTTTAGTAACAAACATGGCTTCATGTACATTATTCATTATTTAGTGTTTTAACAACAATTTATGATCAAAATGGTTTCTCTTCACTTCTAAAGAAAAAGAGGCCAGAAGGGCTACCATTAGGTAGCAACGCCAATCTCACTGCAGCTTCAGCACCTTCATCAGGTGTGAGAAAACCTGTGTTGTGGCTTATATCTGTTTTCACATAGCCTGGACAAACAGCATTGATGCAGAATGAGGGGTACTTCTTGGCCAGAATCCTTGTGTAGGCATTCAGAGCAGCTTTTGAGACAGTATATGCACATAAGGCAAGAGGCCAGCCTTTGGTTTCTAGTGTACCCTCTTTGAAGTCCTTCAGAAATTCATTCAAAATGTCATCAATCTTCTCTTCTGTAAGGTTTTCAACATCACTAAGTACTTCTTTAGGCCATCCATTTGGTATATGCTGCAAAAAAATATTACATGAGAATAAGCATCATCTTCAACAGCACTAATAGACAATAAATCAATTTATTGAATCAAATAATTACACATCTGATTGCAAACACAATCAGAACAAACAACATTGATATTTTCAAAAGCCAAGTGTCCAACTTGGTAGCCCAATTGAGCTACCAATGTGAGTGGCCAAAGTTAATTAGTTGCTGGTATCAGTGTATCTCAGTCACGTACCTCAAGCCTTCCCATGGATGAGGAAACATTGACAATTTTTGGGGAGCTTGAAAACTGGAGAAGGGGAATCAGTGCTTTTGTTAATTCCTTGGCTCCAAGGTAGTTTGTTTTAAGACCTGCTTCTGTTAATTCATATGTTTCAGTTACTATTTTACTCCAATCAACACGACCAGCATTCCCCTGCATCAAACGACTCAACAGTAAACTTGATTTCTTTTATGAATTGATAAGGGAAACATCTATAAGTGCATGGCATGATGTGAAAATTTAAATTCTTGATTCGAGTTAAGTACACTTTGTCAATCAATCTCTTTCTTTATTGATGGGGCAAATAGTTCACAAAGTTAACATGATCGCACTTGCTAACCGCAGCATTTGGTATCAGTATAAAACCTGTTTGATTCTAAGAAAGGAAAAGCACCAGAAGTGAATTCTCATCAATATATATATTCACATTCTCTTGTCATAGTGCTTTGATTCAACTTTCTTGTTTGGAATTGGTTACAATTGTCAACACTGGCACTAACTAAACACTAGTTCCATTTACAATACTTGAAATTATGCTCCGAAAACACATAAATTGGGGAAATAAAATCATACCACAATGCCAGCAGATGCCAAAGCCTTAGCGTCCATATGTGCCCCAGGAATTCCAGCATTGTTTATCTACACAATTTCCATGTTTCAAATATTTTGGCTTATTTAGTATGGTAGCTACTTGCTGAAGGTTAACTACAACCAATTTATGTTGTTTATGATGTGCAAAGTTGATGGTAAGATTACAACCAACAAAAGCCAGAAATTTTTTTTACCAAGATATCCAGTTTTCCATATTGATTCCCAATGAAATCTGCAAGTGATGTGATACTTTTACTATCTGTGACATCAAGTTGATGAAAAACCACATGGCCAGGGTGACCAAGCTCTTTGAGCTTCTCAACAGCTTCAACACCCCTCTTCTCATCTCTGGCTGTGAGCACAACAGTAATCCCATTTGACGCCAATTGCTTGCACACTGCAAATCCAATTCCCTTATTTGCTCCCGTCACAACAGCATACCTAGATAACAATTTCACAAGTTAAGCTAACATTGGTATGATGAGTGAATGAAGTTATGTTCATATGAATATTGTGTTTAAATACAGTGTATGTTGAAGAAAATGAGGCTAAATAGATGTTACCCTTTTGTTGCTTCTGCCATTACTCTTGAATGATGGAAGTAGCAGATGAAGAAGTAGTGTACAGCAAACTGCTAATAACTGGTTATGGGTTTATATCTATTTTACTTGTCTCTAATCAATAATTCATATTATTATAATGTTCAAACGAATAATATGCTACCGGCCAAATGGTTTAAATGAGTAATTAATATTCTTAATATCTTATGTAAATGAGTAATTAATTTTACCTACCTATATTAAATGATTAAAGGATAATATTAAACTCAATATCTAATATCTTTTTCCTTAGATCACAAATAACTGATTAAAAAAAATACTTGACATTTTTGTAAATAATAAACACAATTTTTCTGTCAGACCTTATAGGGTTAACATAAAAGTGGATTTTATATCCTCCCTTCGAGGACCCAATGTAAAAACTGTATTTTATTTTCACTCAAAGTCACTTATTTTTTACCCGTGCAAGAGTTTTATAGTCGATGATAGTGGTAACAACCAGTGTAGCACCTTTAAGGATATTTTTCTATCCCAGTAAGTAGTAACAACATTTACATTATGTTTCATTTGTGTTGGTTGGTATTTCTCTTTGATTGGATTTGAGTTTTAGAATGTTGTGTATTTTTTAGGTTAGTGTTATATATTTCTTTTTTTATGTTTAAATTGAACCGTGATTATTTTTAGGGATCTTAATCACAATATTGCATGAATATCTCCCCTTTATTGTTATTGAAATAAAATTGTTATTGTTTGTGATTACCCGTTCATTCGTTTAAGTACATCTATGATTTATACACTATATTGTTATGTTTTCAAGATTTATTTGTTTAAATTTGATGTTTTTTGTTGTTTGTATACTATTATTTTATTTGAAATATGAATTTGTGTTTTAAAATATGAACTGAAGTTGAATGAATGCACATTATATTAGTGAGAAGTATGAAAAGGGAGTTGGAAAGTTTTAGCAATTTGTTTGTGAAAATGTAAAACTTATCAAAGGGAAAATTGTGTAGAGACCATTGAAATTGTGTAAAACTTATTAAAGTTTTTGCTAAAAGCATATGTCATGAAAATAAAATTGTGTAGAGACCATTGAGCAATTTCTAATTTGATGAGGGGTCAAATTGGAAATACTAAAACTTAAGTAATTAACCTAATTCTGATTATCTAAAGGGTCATGGTCCCCTTCTGGGAGCACGTACACAGAACGTAACTATTAGTCCCGTTCCTTTCTTTCTATCCCCAAGAGATAAAATCAAGAGAGAAAATCAAGAGAGAAATACAGGTGCTCTTCAGATGGAAGACCATAAGATCAATACAGTGCTCTACAAAGACATCATCATTATGGCTAATTCAGGTACGCTTTCGCATTCAGTTTACAACATGTTTATTAGTATGAGATTACGTTTATGTTTGATCGTTAGAATTGAAATTAGGATTATTATTATTATTATTATTATTAATTTTCCAACAATTGGTATTAGAGCTAGTCCATATTTGATTCATGTCTATTTAATTTATAGAACCCTAATTATGAAAACTAGGATTAATTTTGTTTTAAACAATTCAAATTACCCAATTTTATGAACCCTAAGTGGAGAATAATCTCTAATTTTTGTGAACCCTAAAATTTAAATTTGGGGGTAACATTCCCAATCTGATTCTGTTTGCTGATGGAACCGTGGAAGAAGCTATGTATTCTTCTTCTTCGTTTTTCCCTTTTGTTTCAGTTTAAGTTTCAAGTTTTACTGAGAAAGAAATAGTGTTTCAAATTTCAATATTTCTTGTATTGGGTTCTCTGTTCTTTTTTTAATCTTTTGTTTTTATTTAATTTTATGAGTTTGGAATTGGGGGTGGTGTTTGGGGAATTCCCAACACAGAAAATCTTAGGTAAATGGTGAATGTTTCAACAGGTGTGACTGTTCTTATTTTATTGTCTTTAGGAAAATTTGATGTTAAATTCCCCTGTTTAGGGTTTGAGTGATTACTGTTTAATCCCCTTTTAGGGTTTAGAGCAGTATGCTAAAGAGACTCATAATTATCTCTGTTTCATCCCTAATGTGATTTTAGGGAGATGCTCATCCTTTATGTATTGGTGGAAAATGAGGCCTTTTTTCATCTTTTGATTTGTTCAAATGAGGTGTTCATCCCTAATGAGATTCTAGGGAGGTGTTCATCCTTAGTAGAATTCTAATGAGGTGATTCTCTTTTGAATTAGTTTGAAAATATTAAATATTTGGTTTTGTTATATAAATAAAATATTCAATTTTTTGGTAGTTTAATATTTTTTGTGAGCAAATTGAGTCAAGAAGTCACCACAGTAACCTCTCTTAAATTGGGCAGTTCATGAAAAATATTGAATGTTAGTGTTTGTGTATATTCATGCGAGTATTAGTCGGCCCAAAGGAAGATTAATATTTGGCCGAATTGTATACACACTTGTAATGATAAGGATTTGCTTTGTCGATGATAAATCAATCCAAAGATTGGTTTGTTGTTGGACGTGCTTTATTGTCAATGTTTGATTATTACAACAAGATACCTCTAACAGTTAATATTACTGTCCAAAGACTTGATATTGATGGTGCATTGGGTGTCTTGAGATGGGTTAAACCACTATTTGAATATATATTATTTATTTTTTATATAATGTGAGCATAATTAGTTTATTTCTCGTGTTCTAAATTCAGCTACAATTACTTCTGTATTTGCTAATTTAAATTCTGTTTCGGTCCTCAATGGAACAAATTTTAAGGACTGGAAAGAGAAAATTGATATTATTCTTGGTTGCATGGATATGGATCTTGCGTTAAGGACTGAGCAACCCCCTACTCTTACGGATTCAAGTACCTCTGAACAGAAAAAAGATTATGAGAAGTGGGATCGCTCAAATCGCATGAGTCTAATGATCATTAAGCGCGGCATCCCGGAGGTGTTTAGGGGCACTGTTTCTGAAAACATCACAAGTGCCAAAGAATTTCTTGCTGAAATTGAGCAGTGCTTTGCAAAAAGCGATAAGGCGGAGGCAAACACTCTTTTTCAGAACTTGATCTCCATGAAATATCAAGGCAAAGAAAATATCAGGGAGTACAGTATGAGCATGTCTAATATTGTTTTTAAACTCAAGGCACTAAAGCTTGAACTCTCAGAAGACTTGCTCATTCATTTGGTGTTGATTTCTCTTCCTGCAATGTTTAATCAATTTAAGGTATCTTACAACTGTCAGAAGGATAAATGGTCTCTTAATGAGCTCATTTCACATTGCGTACAAGAAGAGGAAAGACTAAAGCAAGACAAGACAAAAAGTGCTCATTTTGCAAGCACCTCCAAGGCTAAGGGCAAAAGAAAGAGATAAGAGGATCTCGAGAAAGAAGGTGCTAAGGGTCCAGAACAAAAGAAACAAACTCAAGAAAACAAATGTTTCTTTTGCAATAAGACTGGACACGTAAAGAAGAAGTGTGCTAAATATCATGCTTGGCGTGAAAGGAAAGGGTTGCCTAAACTACCGGAAGCCAATTGATTCTGAAAGATGAATTTATGTTGGAGATGACAAATTGGTAGAGGTGGAAGCTATAGGGCATTTTAAATTTTTATTGAGTACTGATTTTTTATTTGGATTTGAAAGACACTTTTGTTGTGCTGTCATTTAGACGAAATTTGGTTTCATTTTCTTATTTGAACAAATTAGGTTATTTATGTTCATTTGGAAACAATAAGTTTATTTTGTCTTTTAATTCAGATATTGTTGGAACTGATTCACTTTTGACTTATGATAATCAATATTTACTTGATATTGTGATCACCTATAATGAAACCCTTAATACAGAATCATGTGGTACTAAACGTAAAATTGAAAATACTCACTCATGTGCATTATGGCACAAGTGCTCAGGTAACAATCAAATCGTGACGTTTGAGCTTGTGTTACACTCTTAAAGATATGATAGAGAGTATGATTTGTCATTCCACCTTACTGGAATCACTTTAGGGAGAGACACTAAATACGACAGCTTATATTCTAAACAGAGTACCAACTAAAGCAGCTACCAAAACACCTTATGAGCTTTGGATTGGGCGACAACTTAGTCTGAAGCATTTCCATATGTGGGATTGTCCAACTGAGACAAGACCTTATAAGCCAAATGAAAAGAAATTGGACTCCCGAACAGTAAGTAGTTATTTTATTGGTTATGCTGAAAGATCCAGGAGATATAAATTTTATGATCTCACATTAAAGATAATTTTTGAGACGGGAACTGCTACGTTCTTTGAGGATATTGAGTTTGAGGGAAAGAATAAGATTAAGAACTTCATCTTGGAGGAAGAATCGGTAACAATTTCAGAACCGATTCAAATAGTTTCTTTTGATAAAGTAAGTTCGGAACCTCCACAAGGCATTGTTGATGAACTCCTTACTCAAGATGATTTGGTTGTTCATGAAGAACAAACTCAAGATCCTCAAGAACCTGTGTATCATGAGCTAATAACTTTGCAGAGATCCACTAGAGAAAGAAGAAATGTTATTTCGGATGATTACATGGTATTTCTTCAGAAACATGAGGAAAATAATGATATAATGGAAGATGAACCAGTTAACTTCCGTTAAGCTATACAAGGTTCTAACTCTCAAAAGTGGATTGAAGCAATAGGAGAAGTATAAGTCCATGAAAGACAATAAGGTTTGGGAACTTGTCCCATTACCAGAAGGTATGAAACTCATTTGGCTTCAAGATGAATATTGTTGATGATTGTGTGTATCACAAGTTTAAAGGGAGACAAGTTTAGTCTCAATCAGTGCCCAAAGGAGAATTTGGAAATTGAGAAAATGCAAAAGATTCCCTATGCATCAGTTGTAGGGAGTTTGATCTATGCCCAAGTATGTACGCATCCAGACATAACATACATAATTGGGGTTCTAGGCAGATATTTAAGCAATCCAAGAATAGACCATTGGAAAGCAGCAAAAAGGGTCATAAGATATTTAAAGAGAACAAAAGAGTATATGCTCACATACAGGAGGTCA